CTGACATATCTTCTGGGATTAGGGATTGGTTGCAGGTCTGAGGGTATTGGCGGCGAGCTTTTGCTCGAGTGGCAGTTAGGCATTGGTATTGTTATGTAGATGGAAGGGTGGGAGGAAGCGCCATCACCTCCCCCGCATATTGAAGGGTAGTCCGATAAAGGATTCCGGGGGGCATGGCCCTGTCCGAAGCCTATGGAGGTGAGGGCCTAAGGCACGCCCCCGAGCGGTAACCCCGGGGGAGTCCCTAGTTGATATGCATCAGCAGGACTCCCCCTGCTGGTGGTTAACCTTTCCCGGACTTCAAGCAATCAGGCTGAAGCCGGAAAGTCGGTTAGGACCAATGCCTAAGCCAATACTGCTCATCACCTGTAACCAATAAAGTTGTGGCCATATTTAGCCCATTAACCTTAAATATCTGTGTCATGTTTCTTTATTTCCACTGAGGGGAGGCGGGAACTCACCATGCAATGTGTGTCAAAGTGTTCAGTCAGGATTGGTGCGGCTGCAGTACTGTCCAAGCCACAACAACCTGGCAGATGGGTTCATGAAACCTTTGAGCTTCCAGCGTCATGGGGAGTTCTGTGGAGGTTTGATGTTGGGGTAAGTAGTGATACTTACAAGCGCCCCAGTAGCACAGGACGAGAAGGGGTGTGAGGAGAACCTGAGCTTACAGGGTTAAACAGCTCAGTGTGTGCGTCCTGCTTTCTGCGGGGGTGGAGAGATCCTACGTCACACATCCGGGATCTGTGTTCTTTGTTCTATTATTCTAGTTTTGTTTTCGTCCTGAGCAGACATGTTCTTTCTACCCGATACTGGATGATTTATACTGCTGCTGTAAATAAACACTTCTAGCTTAGAGAAGCTGCGTGGGCTCTTGATTTATGCACACTGACGGCACGCACAGAGGACAGAAGGCTAAAGGCTTTATACGCTGTGTTTTTACTTTGCTACGCTCAGAGGTCCGGGAAAGCAGTATGAGCAACAGAAGCCTGCAGGACCTTTCCCCTGAGCAATATTTCACACATGTTATTCCAAAACTCGCTTATAACCATACAAGGCTATTCCCCTTTAAATTAGCCATTTTGACAGAAAACATGAGAACTGGAATTTTGGTCTTGAATTGATTTTTGGATCGCCTGCATGCCAAGCACATACTTCTACCACTGGGCCAGCACCCTTCCTCAGTGACTGAGGTCTCATTGAACACAGCCATCCAGCAAGCAAAAAATTTAATGAAATGAATGAATTTAATGAAAATGATTTACAGGTGCTACATAACACCAGTCAAGCTTGCAAAAAATTATCATTTGCCTGATAATAAATGTTGGAAATGCAATGAAACTGAAGGTACTTTCTTTCACCTCTGGTGGACATGCCCAAAGATTAAGGCATTCTGGGAGATGATCTATAATGAAATGAAAAATGTATTTAAATATACCTTCTTAAAGAAACCAGAGGCCTTTCTCCTGGGCATGGTGGGCCAATTGGTGCCAAAGAAGGACAGAGTTTTTTTCATGTATGATACAACAGCAGCAAGAATACTCATTGCAAAGCACTAGAAGACACAAGACTTACCTACCAGGGAAGAATGGCAGATGAAGCTGATGGACTATATGGAATTGGTGGAAATGACTGGCAGAATCCGAGACCAGGGAGAAGAGTCGGTGGAAGAAGATTGGAAAAAATTCAAAGCTTATTTACAGAAATATTCCAAAATTAATGAATGTTAGAAAGATGCTGGAAAGAAGTTATATGACTTTAGTAGAAATACTATAAAGAATCAAGTATGAATAGATTGACATTGGGTAAAGAGGTAAATTTAAGTCTAAAATTGTGTTAAGTTAAACCATGGAACTAAATTTGTGAAAGAGGGAAAGGACTTGCTGGAATATTTAATTGAACTAGAATACAAAAAAGGAGGTGTGAGGAAGTCGCGGAAATAAGCAAATGAAAGATAAGGATATGAAAATATGTGGTTCTTTTGTATGTTTGTTTGTTCTTTTTTGGGTTTTTCTTTTCTTTTTTAATGCTTTTGTTTTCTTTTCTTTTTTTGTATTGTTGATGTTTTGTATTTCTGTATTTATTTTTGTTTTTGAGGTTTTGTAATTGTTTACTGCTTATATTTTTCTTTTGTTTAGCTTCTGTTTTTTTGCAATGTTTAAACTTCAATAAATATTTTATTAAAAAAAAGCAATTCTACACGTGGGGAGTAGGGACACAAATGCAAATCAGAATAAAGCAAAGGCTGGGAAAGTTCAAACAGAAACACACACACACTATTCCTCAAGATTTGTGTTTAAGACACAGGATCATAGAATTGTGGAGTTGGAAGGGACACCGAGGACCATCTTGTTCCGTTATTCCCAATCAGGGGTCCGTGGCCCCATCCCTTGCCTCCCTCCAACTAATTTTTTGTCATTTTTGCATGGCAATATCATAAATTTTATGGGCGGTGTTGTTGTTTTTAGTATACCTAAAATCCTTTGCTTATTACCCCACATTTTGTTCAAAAAATTGTTTTGCAGAGGTAACTACCATAGAGTTATAAAATTTTTCAAAAGTAGGGGGTCTGTGGCTTGGCTTTTGAAAAATAAGGGGTCCTCAGTAATTAGCTAATTGGGAACCACTGATCTAGTTCAATCCCCTACAATGCAGGAATAAGGCAGTTGGCCTATACAGGGATCAAACTTATGACCTTGGCATTATCAGCACCCCGCTCTGAACATCTGTGTCACCTTCAGAGTTGTTGTTGTGGGAACTGTAGTTCACCAAAGTAAATATTGAAAGGATCCTCTTTTCACATCAAGGACAGACCATTCCAAACATCTACCTTATGCACAAAATTGACTCCCCAAGCTCTTCTTGTGTTTTAAGACGCTGGGATGTGGGGAGCCGAAATTCCACTGGGCTGGCAGAAGCCCCTTTTGTGACTCAATAGAGCTCTGTCTTCAATCCCAATTTTAGTTTGGAAAACTCATCCATTTTCCTTTAACACACTCAGTCCCTCCCCCCACTTTCCTTCACTCCACTCTTTTCCATATCGAAAGCAATTTCTAATGTCCACTGCCAGGACCAGCTGAGGATGTTTTTGCTTGAGGCAGAAACACCCTGAGCCCTGCCTTTGCTTCTCCTTTAGGAAAGGAGGCTGGAGAGGAGCAGGTTGTGTTGGCGAAACCCTCACAAGGGCATGACTGTGGTCACAATAGTGGCATGGCTGCAAGCATAGTGCTCTACGGACCTTGATCTGCCGTTTGAGGCAATGGCCTCTAAACGCCTCATGCGCAGGTTGGCCCTGCCAATTCCTAGGGTGCCCAGTTGGATTATTTCAGTTGGGAAGGGGGAAGTTCCCAATCCCGTTCCACTGCTCTCCACCTGCTTCCCCCCCTCACAGTGATCCATCTAGTCTCCACTCCACTCCACTTCAAATGAAAATAAATAATAAAATTCTCCCATCCAGACTCTGCAGTCTCCATAGCTGCTCTCAGAGCTCCAGTCTCCTTTGGTCATTTTTTGGACTCCCTTGAGAAGAACAAGTGGACATCTAGGAATTACTGGTGGTGGTGGCGGCGGGAGCAGGGCTCAGCTCCTCCTGCTCTTAAGTGTGCTCTGCTCAGTTCTGCAGCCTTATCCCTTGGCACCAGGTGCACATATGCTCTCATAACCTCCCCTCCACACACACTTAAGCCAAGCCCAGTTCTTTTTCTTCCTTTGTTCTCCCTCCTACCACTGAGCCCTGGAGACAAAGGTTAATGGGGAGAGGGGAGGGCAGACCTCCCCTCAAGAGTCTATGCAATAATTTGCAGTCAGCTGCTGCTGCTGCTGCTGCTGGGCTGAAACTTGCAAGCTGCAAGCAGAGTCGTCTATATATATATATATATATATATATATATATATATATATATTGTTTGTTTGTTAAAAAGTTGCTCTCGCCCTCCAAAAGCTCACAAGCTTCAAATGGGTATGAGGAAAGAAAGCAATTTAGAAACACCTTGGGGAAGCAATGTAGCCCTCTTTCTGCACCTGCAAGCCTTGTTGTTAAGAGCTAAATCAGATTCCATGGTATCTGCATGACCTGATGCCCCATGCAGCACCCCATCCCCACAGCCTCTCCCTCATGTGTGCTGCATGCAAGGGCCCAAGAAGGCTACATTTGAGCGTCAGAGCAGTGGAGAAACCAACAAAGGCAAGTGTAGCTCCCCTCCAAACACCAGAACAATCTTTGCACAATGGATATTTTATTTTGAAACAAAAGTTTTCCAATAAATTATACAATTTTAAAAAGAGTGTGTGTGCACGAAGTACAGGAATCCAGGACAGAAAACCAGAAAGACAAAGTTGCAGAACCTGGGGTCGAGTGGGGAGCCCAACCCAACCCAGCTGTACCCACTGCCTCAGCTCCCCGCCTGCTGCCCAGCCTGTGCCCTCTCCTACCCCCCCTGATCCCTTTAGGCAGTGCTTAGTGTTTCATTAAGAATTAACACCCTAGAACTCTACTTGGCAGAATGGGGACAGATATCTGAACTATACAGAGCAGGCTAAGGAGTACGTGGGCCACAGTGGCTGCCCTGCCCCTTCTTGATGAGCATCAAGGCTGAGGGGCAGGGGGGGGACAGAGAAAGAGGTCCTGCAATCCCAGGACAGGCCAGGAATCCTTATGCCTTGTACCCACCAAGAGTATCACATGCTCAGCTGCAGCAGAAGGGGAGAGCGTGGACTACTGCGCAGGGACTGAGAGCAGCAGTGGTGGTAGGATGGGCAGGGGGATGACTGTCCTCCAACAGGGTCCCTGCCAAAGCACCCTTAACCTGTTGCCAATGCCCTGGAACCATGTGGAAAGCCAACTGTGCAACCGTGTCAGGAGTCAAGAGGAAAAGGGCGAAGCACAGGGAAGAGAGCTGGCACATGGCAAGATGGCACAAGGGGAAGGGCAGGCACCAGAGAACAGAGGCTGGGCCTTGCCTCTTCCCTCCCAACTTCGTCTCCAGTCACGCTTGGCACCTTTAGTAGTCATCCGCCCCCAGCAGGAAGCCCAGGAGGAAGCCGATGGCAAGCTGATGCTCCTGTGGGCTCTGCTTCGACAGAACGTTGGGCAGAGGCCGTAGCAGGAGGCTGGCGAAGAGGGTGGCTGCAGGGAAGCGAAAACATTTGCATGAGAGGAGGCGGGAGCAGGAGGAAGGCCAGCTCCCAGCCAGGACAGGCAGGCCTTACCTAGCATGTTGGCACTGACGTTGTTGCTCTCAGAGTATTTCAGCAGCTCCCACAGGAAAGCCATCACGAAGCGGAACACGTTCTGGCAGATCATCTGCAAGACAGGGAGGGGCAGTTTGGAGTTTCAATGCAGAGCTTTGCTAGAGGAGGGGCGTGGATCACTAGCACGGTGTACTTGTTATGTTTGCAGGTTTAGACCTTGCATAAAAAAAAGAATGTTTAAAATGGTAACCGGACTAGAACTCTGCTGGGAACTTTGGGGAATAATACAACTGTAGAGTCGGAAGAGACCACGAGGGTTAACTAATCGAACCCCCTGCAATGCCTAAGGTGGGGCTCGAACTCAGGACACTGAGATGAAGAGTCTTATGCTCTACCAACTGAGATATCTTGGGGGAAGGGCCATAGCTCTGCAGTAAACCACCTGCTTTTCATGCAGAAAGTCTCAGGTTCTACCCCCAGCATCTCCCAGGAGGGTAGGGAACATCCCTTGTCTGAAATCCTGGAGAGCCACTGCTTGTCAATTTCGACAATACTGAACTAGATGGCCCAGTATATGGCCACTTCCTGTGTTGGAAATTCAAGCGAGGTTCACTGAAACAGGTGGGCCATTGTTACAACTCCTGGTCAGAAAGCAAAAAGGCAACATGTGCACACCCCACCCCCCTCCACAACCGAGAGGGATGGTTATCAATGGAGACATCAGCAACCTCTGCAGTTAACAAGGCTTCCCAGACCAGACTAGCCTTCCTGCCAGTGTGTTGGTTTACTGGCTTTCAGGGATGTTTTATTTTTTATTTTTTTAAATGATATTTATTGAAAATTTTTTAGAATAAAAAAAAAGACAAAACAGAAAAATAAAAATAAAAAATAAAAATCCATCATTCTCAAATTCTCAACTTTCATTACCTTCTTTCTTTGACCTCCTCCTCCTCCCCTTTTTTGTATCCTAATTAATAATTATCGCAGCAAATCCTTTCCATAATTCATAATATTCTGTCATTACATTACCTTAATCTATTTTCATCTTATCTTATAGAAAACCTTAAAACTTAAAACTTAAATCTTATTTTTACCAACTTCTCATAACCATAATATTCTTACCTAATTCTTTAAACATTTTTGCTAGAGCCAAGTAATTTCATTTCAACATTTTTCTAACATTCATCAATTTTATAAAACAATCCTAATGATAAAAAAAGAAATAAAGACAATCCAATCTTCATCCAGCGTCCCTTCCTCCTGGTCCCGGGTTTTGTCAGTCCTTTTTATCCCATTGATCTAGCGCATTAACCTGGTAACCTTATATCCGAGGCCCTTAAGTCTCTTCCATGTCCCTTCCGCAGCTCTTCTTCATATTTTCCTTTCACTTGTGGGAACTCCAGCTTGGTAATGTTTTTGACCCTTTTCAACAAATCAGCCCCTTTTCCATAGTCCGGACTAAACTCCATGTGGTATTTAGGAACATGTTTCAGAATCCCTCCAAAATTGAGAGCCCCCACAGCTCCAAACATCTCACGGCCCATTGCCAGACTCGGAAAGTCCAAACATCCCTGCATAGGGGGGTCATTTCCAAACCAATCCAAACTTTATCTTTCCAAATCTGGTTTTTTCCAAGTTCATTTGTCAAATCCAAAAGCTCATGTTCCTGCAGGGCCGCAGCTCCCTCCATCTCTGGCGCCCAAGATTCAGCAACGTCCTCTTCTCTCATCTGTTCTGTCAGGGCACACTCCTGATTTAGTTCCTGGGTGGGCTCCATATAGTTTCCCACTGCCTGTTCAAAAGTTCTGACCGCATTAGTCATCAAATCCGTCTTCTCATTTAACTGAGCCAGTAGGGCATTTGTTTTACAGAGAGCACGCAACAGAGCATCTGAATACATTGTCCTACAAGGTCACAAGTCCATTCCCACGATTGTAATCTGTGACAGCTGCAAGCTCCCTAGAATTAGTTACAGTTTCACAGTCTCCCTCTAGGGGGAAAACTTCTATTTGTTCTTTCTTTTAAGGACAAATCTAGCAAAACAAAGTCTCTTTTTTAAGATATTTTGTCAATATTTGTTCCTTTAAAATGCAAAAGGAAACAGTGGAATCACTATGTTACTCTTCTTTTAGCTATCTGTCAAAAGCATTTGTCTCTGGTCAATGAGCTTCAAACGTCAGTCCTGACACCCCGCTCCAGGATCAGGACGGTGGAAAGTTACTTTACTTTAAACTCACTTCTGCAGGTTTAAACAGTCCAAAAAAGATCCCCCTTCTTCTCCTGCTACCGAAGGGGGGTTCAGTAATTTTAAATGATGAAAGCCAATCCTTTAGAAGTGATTTTCTGAGCTCTAGTTTACGTTGTCTTTGCTTTATTCTGTCTACAAAGAAACGGAAGGCTGACTTCCTGTTTAGACCTTCCCGTTTCAGTACCAAATTGAAGTAAATTTTTAAGTCCAATTCCTTTCTCCTTGCCAGTCCTTATTTAAAGTCCAATTGTTCAAAGTTTAAGTACTCACGGGTGATTATTTTAGATGCCAAATTGTCCCAGGAAAAAGGCAGCGCTCTCCGGCAACGGCTATGCGGCTTCGCTCCACGGAAATAGCAGTTGACTCACAGCACCGCGCCACTTCCCCCCTCTTCGCTTCGGAGCCCGTTAGTGGGTTCCTTTGCGGGTTGGGGGGGGCGCTAAGGGTGCCTGCCGAGTCCCATGGTCACAGGCTTCATCCGCCTGTGATTTATAAAAGGGTCCCCGCTTCGCCGTAGCGGAAAAGACCCGTTTTGCGCGGAGCTGGTCCCTCCAGTTCAGAGGGAGTCCGCCATTGCCGATGGCGCCACCCCGGAAGTCCGATGGCGCCACCCCGGAAGTCGGCGCCACCCTGTTTTAGTGGATTTCCTGTTACTTGCGGCAACATTTGGACTAGATGACTTTGGAAATCCCTTCTGATTCTATGCTTCTGTACACACCACAGACCATCCATGAAGAGATGGGACTCTGGGGCCGACCTGGCGACAGAGGTGGCTGTCATGTGAGCACTCAAGGCAGCGCTGATACAGTTCATAGCAAATGACCTGTTCTGGCAGTGCCTCCAGGAAGATGAGCAGAGCTTCGGCCCCCGAGTGGTTACTGTTGGAGCTTCCGTACGACCAAGCTGTAATGGCTACTCCTCCGGCCGTATCTTTGGAACCCATATAGGCTCTCCTCCGACGGTGATTAACGACCTAAGCCTTTGAATGAGACTTCAGGCACGCTCTCCATTGCGCAGAGTACTCAGACAGCAGCAGAAGGAGCCAGAAATATGTGCTACATTGCTACTTTATTTCTAACTACGTAAGACAGAAAAGAATATGCATCTGCTCTCTGTGAGAGACAGAAAACAACTGGACACAAAGAAACTGGAAACCAGTAACATCAACATCCGTCTCCCGTCTCCCATGAGACTTCCAACAGTCTGGAATGTCAATAGAGTCTTGTGACTCCAAGAACTGCACAGTGACATAACAGAAACCTAACAGTTACTGCCAACTATTGACAGCCTGTCAAGGAAAGTGTTCTGTCCTGTTACCTGCACCCTGCCTCCTTCCCAGGCTGGTCCAAAGCAAGAAGCTTTGTCCTTATACATCTGGGCCCACCTTGTAAGTTTCCCCTTTTTGTGCAAGGTGGACCTTGAACCCACAGCCCTGAGATTAAGAGTGTCACACTCTACCAACTGAGCCATCCCACTGTAATTATTCCACACCTCCCCTCTTGACGAAGCTGCCTGCAAAGCTGATCTGCAGAGGAAAAGTCCTTCTGCAGGCATGGTTTCAATCCAAACAGCAAATACTAGTGGTCAACTTCAAAAGTGCGGTCAACAAACCCTGCTTGCCTAAGAACAATTGAACGCACCCTTGAAGCTCCTTTGCCGCCATGTCTTTACCTGTCTTCACACCTGACACCACGTAAGATGCTAGATGTGGGGCCTGCAGGCCTGTCAAGATTCCCCACCTCTGCTCTATCTAGCCAGGCTGATGTTTTCAAATGGAGGTTAAAGCTGTTAAGCTGTTTGGATGCATGACTGGACTTTACTGTGGGCATTTCATTTTGATTGATTTTACTGTGATGTGTCCCAGAGCCTTAAGGATAGGGTGGCCTAGGAACCTAAGCCACCAGGTATATAGAAATGAGGTCCACTCCAGCCAAGAGTGAGAGAGATCTCAGCGCTCTGCAAGTCAGCTTCTTTAAAGAAAGAGAGAGAGAGATCTCAAAAGATTGCGCTGATTGGGGAATTGGGAAAGTGTCCCAGCAGCACTCTGCAGCTCAGCTGCTTTAACGAGAGAGAGAGAAAGATCTCAAAAGATCACGCTGATTAGGGCATTGGGGAAGTGTCCTGGCAGTGCTTCACAGCTGAGCAGCTTTAATGTGTGTGTGTGTGTGTGTGTGTGTGTGTGTGTGTGAGAGAGAGAGAGAGAGAGAGAGAGAGATATATCTCAAAAGATTGCGCTGATTAGGGCATTGGGGAAGCCTCCTGGCAGCGCTCTGTAGATCACCTGCTTTAACGTGTGTGTGTGTGTGTGTGTGTGTGTGTGAGTGAGAGAGAGAGAGAGAGAGAGAGAGATCTCAAAAGATAACACTGATTAGGTCATTGGGGAAGCCTATCAGCAGCGCTCTGTGGATCGTCTGCTTTAACGTGTGTGTCACAGACAGAGAGAGAGATCCCAAAATTTCACACTGATTAGGGTATTGGGAAAGCTTCGCGGCAGCGCTCTGCAGCTCAGCAGCTTTCACTTGAGAGAGAGAGAGAAATCTCAGAAGATCAGGCTGATTAGGGCATTGGGGAAGCTTTGGGACAGTGCTCTGCAGCTAAGCTTCTTTAACATGAGAGAGAGATCTCTATCAAAAATTCACACTGATTAGGACATTGGGGAATCTTCCAAGCAACACTCTGCAGCTCAGCTACTTTAACGTGTGTGTGAGAGAGAGCGAGCAAAAAGGGTTTTCTTGAAGGAGCAAAAAGGGTTTTCTTGTGTGTGTGTGTTTCTTTGTGGCTGATTAGCTGCTCTTCCTGTGCAAAGGTCAGAGGGGGCAGGGTTTCTGTTGAGGCAGGTGATTAGCTGTGGGAGGAGCTTATCAGAGCTTGCAGGGCAGCAGTTGAAGAAGGAGCAAAAAGGGTTTTCTTGTGTGCCGTTTGATCCATCTTTTAGATTTAGGGGAGCTAGTCTCAAACGTTTGTTGGGGGAGACCTAGGTTTTTTTATGGGGGGAGTTATTTGTCCTGTCTTCACGCTTTTTATGATGGAGGACCGCTGTAGCCACCCCCAACGACACGTTCTCAAGATGGAGGAGGGAACAGCTGCAGTCGCCTGCGGTTCCTGCGCAATGTTTGCCATCTTGCCAAAGGTTGCAGGCAGCTTTACCTGCAGCAATTGCATGTTGATTGCCCTCTTAAAAGACAAAGTCCAGCAACTGGAGGAACGTGTAGCTACGCTCCAAAGAATTAGAGAGCTGGAGCTCTTCTTGGAAACAACAGAGCACACCGTCTCCACCAAGGAGGAGACAGGGGACTCCCTGAGAAGGAGGCTAGTTCACCAACACAGGAGCCAGATATATGGAGAAACGTGACTCAAAGAAGTAGGAGGCCCAGGGTTCGCTCTGATTGTTTAGAAATACACAATCGCTTTGAGGTCCTCTCCCCTAGCATGGAAGACGAAGAGCAGACTCCATTTGAGGATCTCTCCCTCGTTACAGTCAATCAGGTATATGAAGACAAGCAGCAAAGTCAGTCCTCAGGGAATGTGCAGGCGACCTTGGAACGGACAGCTCACGGAAGAACCCCGACCAAACCTAAGAGGAGGCGTGTAGTGGTGATAGGGGATTCCCTACTGAGGGGAACAGAAGCAGTGATCTGTGGGCCTGACAAGATGTCTCGGGAAGTGTGCTGTCTCCCAGGGCTAAGATCCAAGATGTAACTGAACGACTGCAAGGAATCATAAAACCCACTGACAAATACCCCTTCCTCTTGGTTCATGTGGGAACCAATGACACTGCAAGCAATAGCCTCCAGAAGATCAAAAGAGACTACGAGGCTCTGGGCAGGAAATTGAAGCAATTAAATGCACAAATTGTCATCTCATCTGTCCTCCCAGTTGAACGACGTGGCCCAGGGAGAGAGGGGAAAATAGTGGAAGTGAACAGCTGGCTTCGCAAATGGTGTAAACAGGAACGGTTTGGATTCTTAGATCACGGACTGCAGTTTCTTGAAGATGGACTTCTAGCAAGCGATGGGCTGCACCTCACAACGGTTGGGAGGAATGTTTTTGCCAAAAATCTCAGAAACCTCATCAGGAGGGCTTTAAACTGACTAATGTGGGGGAGGGAGACAGTGCTCCTGAAGGTAGGAGTCTATCAATTGATGAAGATGATCATCCAAATGTCATAGACCAAATGGAGCAAACAGCACGCAGACCTAGTGGTGGGAGGAAAAAATCTTTAAATAAGAGACACGGGGAAATGATTAATGGACTTCAATGTCTGTACACTAATGAACAAAGCATGGGAAATAAAGAAGATGAGCTTGAGCTCTTGGTACAGCAAACTAAATATGACATAATAGGCATCACTGAAACCTGGTGGGATAAGTCCCACGATTGGAATGTAATAATGGAGGGATACAATCTATTTCAGAGAAACAGACCAGACAAGAAAGGAGGAGGAGTGGCGTTATATGTCAGGGATGTGTATACCTGTGAAGAGATCCAAGATTTAGAACCTCAAAGCCAAAGTGAGAGCATTTGGGTCAAAATTAAGGGAGAGAAGAATAACAGTGACCTCATTGTGGGAGTTTACTATAGATCCCCAAGCCAAACGGAGGACATAGATGACGCCTTCCTGGAACAGATGGCCAAGCATGCAAAAGGAAGGGAGATAGTAGTAATGGGGGACTTCAATTACCCGGATATTTGTTGGATGTCAAACTCAGCCAAGAGCATAAGGTCAAACAGATTCCTCACTGGCCTTGCAGACAACTTCATTGTCCAGAAAGTGGGAGAAGCAACAAGAGGAACAGCCATTTTAGATCTGGTCCTAACCAATGTTGATGACCTGGTTAGTGGGGTAGAAGTGGAAGGATCATTAGGCGCGAGTGATCATGCTCTTCTGAAGTTTACTATACAGCGGAAAGGAGCAGCCAAGCATACTAGGACTCAATTTCTTGACTTTAAGAAAGCCGACTTCATAAAACTTAGGGAAGTGCTGGGTGAGATCCCATGGACAGTAATACTAAAAGGAAAGGGAGTTCATGATGGCTGGGAGTTTGTTAAGAGGAGATAGTAAAAGCACAACGTCAGGCAATACCAATGAGACGGAAACATGGAAGGTGCCTAAAGAAGCCAGGGTGGCTATCTAAAGAACTTTTAACTGAGTTAAGATTAAAAAAGGATGTGTACAAAAAATGGAAAAGGGGGGAAACCACCAAAGAGGAATTCAAACAAATAGCCAGCACGTGTAGACACAAAGTCAGAAAAGCTAAAGCACAGAATGAACTCAGGCTTGCTAGAGAGGTTAAAAGCAACAAAAAAGGCTTTTATGGGTATGTTCAGTAGCAAAAGGAAGAACAAAGAAACAGTGGGGTCACTCAGAGGAGAAGATGGTGAAATGCAAACAGGGGACACAGAAAGGGCTGAACTCCTCAATGCCTTCTTTGCCTCAGTCTTCTCCGATAAAGAAAACAATGCCCGACCTGAAGAATTTGGAGCAAATGATTCAGCAGAGGAAACACAGCCCAGAATAACTAAGGAGATAGTACAAGAATACTTCGCTAGTTTAGATGTATTCAAGTCTCCAGGGCCAGATGAACTGCATCCAAGAGTATTAAAAGAACTGGCAGATGTGATCTCAGAACCACTGGCAGTCATCTTTGAGAATTCCTGGAGAACAGGCGAAGTCCCGGCAGACTGGAGGAGGGCAAATGTTGTCCCTATTTTCAAAAAGGGGAAAAGCGAGGACCCAAATAATTACCGCCCAGTCAGTCTGACATCAATACCAGGGAAGATTCTGGAGCAGATCATTAAGCAAATGGGTCCTCGATCACCTGGGTTCAGGCCAGGGAGCCGGGTGAACTCAGAAACAGGCGTGCAAGCAGGGAGCCAGGGCGGGTCGGAGCTCAGGCAGGAAAGAAGGACATGGTTCAGGCAGGAACTAGCAACCAACAATGTTGCTCCTGCAACTTGGGACTAGGGCTGGCCGGCTTTTATCTGCCCCGAGGCATTGGGCGGCCCCGATCCTCTGGTGACTCGCCTCTCCTGGCCTGGAGGTGAGCACTCCACCTGCGGGAACTTAGTTCCCTCCACCTCTCTGCCCTGAGCCTCTGCAGCTCAGGAGAGGCTGGAGGATTACTGGACCCAGAGGCAACCTCACCTTCCCCTGACAGGGCTGAGAGAGGAGCACCTGCAGGCAATGGGTCCTCGATCACCTCTGGAGCCAGAGCGGATTCAGCTGGTGTCTGCTCCTGAGGATCTGGCACAGGTGAGGGCCCTTCAGGTTCAAGCCCCTGCCCCGGCTCAGCCGGCCCTGGAGGTGGGGACTCCTGTGCAGGCTGGGATTCCTCAGGTTCAGCCTCTGAATCCGATTCCCAGGCCACCACATATATAAAGATAAAGGTAACGGGACCCCTGACCATTAGGTCCAGTCGTGACTGACTCTGGGGTTGCGGCGCTCATCTCGCTTTATTGGCCAAGGGAGCCGGCGTTTGTCCGCAGACAGCTTCCGGGTCATGTGGCCAGCATAACTAAGCCGCTTCTGGTGAACCAGAGCAGCACACGGAAACGCCGTTTACCTTCCCGCCAGAGCGGCACCTATTGATCTACTTGCACTTTGACGTGCTTTCGAACTGCTAGGTTGGCAGGAGCTGGGACCGAGCAACGGGAGCTCAACCCGTCACGGGGATTTGAACCGCCGACCTTCTGATCGGCAAGTCCTAGGCTCTGTGGTTTAACCCACAGCACCACCCGCATCTCTATATAGAGAATGGATATTATTCAAGGAGTATATAAGATCACACTGTAAAAATGAAACTATCCTGGCAGAATTGAATGATACTTGTGTGTAATAAATAATTGGAAAAATATCTTAGAAGAATATACAGAAAAAGCTATAAAATAAACTGTGCGATAAAGTCAGTATATTAGAAAAAGTACAAAAAGAATGATTGGAAGTTTTTGTCCTAGAAGACTTTATTGGTCAAGATATGATAATACAACCAATATTCTTTTATTTTAATGTTAATTCTTCTTTGCTTTTTATTTTTATTCTTGTTATTCCTTTTTCATTTTCATGTGAAATTCTGTTGTAACTATTTGTAATGTATTTGTATGATAGTATTTGAAATCAATAAAGATATATTCTAAAAAATGGGGGGGGGGGGGATAGCACAGTGCCTTCCACAGAGTCAGACAATTGATCCGCCTAACTCCTTAAGGGAGGACTGTCAGAGGCTTAATGCTGTCCAGCTGGCATAGATAAGACTGACTCTCCCATTCCACCACCGCCTTCACTTTCCCCGGGTCCATGGCCAACCCCTGGTCCGACAGCCGGTACCCCAGGAATTCGACTTCCTTTGCGTGAAACTGACATTTCTCCAGCTTGACCCACAAGCGGTGCTCCTTGAGTTTGCTCAGGACCTGCCATACATCCTTCACGTGCTGTTTTTCGTCTTCCGAGTACACAAGCAAATCGTCCAAAAAGCAAACACAGTTTTTGTAGAGCAAAGGTCCTAGCACGTGGTGCATGAAGTCTTGGAAACAGTGACTTCTGCACTGCAAACCGAAGGGCATAACTAAATACTCAAACGCCCCCATCAGGGTGAACATGGTGGTCTTCCACTCATCGCCTTCTCGTACTCGGATAAGGTTGTAAGCCCCCTGGAGATCCAGTTTGGTGAAAATCTTCCCCTTTCGCACCCGTGCCAAAACGTCGTCGATTCTCGGCATCAGGAAAGCCACCGGTTCCGTCTGGCTGTTCAAAATTTGAAAGTCCACCACCAGGCGTCGCTCTTTTGTTGATCTCTTGTCGACGAAGAACACTGGACTCCCTCCTGCCGCCTTGGACTCCCTGATGAAACCCCTTCTTAGGTTTTTCTCAATAAACTCCTTTAGGTCCTTGAGCTCTCCCTCCGACATGGAATAGGTTTTCCCCACCGGCAACGTGGCCCCCGGTACCAGGTTGATCTGACAGTCATATGGCCGATGGGGTGGCAACGCATCCGCCTCTTTCTCGCTGAACACCTCCTGTAGATCCCTGTAACACGACGGAATCTTGCTTGTCCCCGCTCTGCATGCTGCTGCCCTCCTGCCCTCGCTTTGTCGAGCTAGCCCTTGAGCTAGGCAGTTCTCCATGCAGTGCGTCGAGCCAAACGTCAGGGACCGTTGTTGCCAGGAAACCACCGGATTGTGCAACGCCAACCAGCTCATGCCCAATATGATAGGCGGCCCCGCCAGTGTGGCCACGTGAAAGGCGATGACCTCAGAGTGGGTGGCCACACGCATTCGCATTGGGGGTGTTCGATGCATCACTTCACCCCCCAGCAGTTCTCTTCCATCAATTGTTGTCACTTGCAGCGGAAAATCCAAAGGCCTCAGGTTCCGTTGGTGTCGTGCCGCAAACTCCTTGCTGAAAAAGGAGGCTGAGGCCCCAGAATCAACTAGCGCCAACTCCTCCACCGTCTGTCCATTTGGGAGTTCTAGCACCACCTTCAACATTATGCTTGCTTTGGGGTGTCCAAGCTGGGGACTTTCTGTGTTGCTCCCACCTGGCTGCTGCCCCGGTTCCCCACCAGCCAGGCATCTTCGTTTCCCGAATGCTGGGGCTCCTCTGCCTCTGCCTGCTGGGTGGCCCCCACCATCCCCTGCCAGTTACGACGCTCTGGACACACTCTGGCAAAGTGCCCAGTCTTCTGACACGCAAAACATCTTTTTGCCGCTTGCCAGTCTTTTTTCTCCTTCCCGCCAGACCATTGGGCTTTCAAACTCTCCCGTGCCCTGGCTGTGCCTATCTCCATAGGCTCCTGCGCTTGTTGACATTCTGAGGCAGCTGCAGGCACCTCAAGAATGTGGTCACCATGGAAACTCTGCTCTCTGCCTTTCCCGCCATCTGGCTTCTTGTCTCAAACCCACCCCAAGAGCAGCCTTTGTTAATTCGTCCATATTTTTAGGTCGTGGCCCCCTTGCCAGCTCGTCCTTAATTTCTGGATTAAGTCCATTTTTAAATATCGCTTGTACTGGGTCAGCCTCTAAATCCCAACCCAGTTTCTGTACGAGCATAGCAAATTCAGACCAATAACTGCGTACTGTGGATTTGCCTTGTTTCAAAGCCAGCAGCTCCTCCTGCGTTTTGTCAATTAAACTTTGATCTGCATAGATAAAATCCATTGCTTGCCAAAATTTGGCTTCATTTTTGAGGGCTTCATTCCCCGAGGCTATTAACGGCCTGATCCAGCTTCTAGCCCCTCCTCCCAGGTGTCTAATGATATGAGCAACTTTTGCTGCATCGTTCTGAAACTTATCTCCTTCAAGTTCTAGAAAATATCTCATCTCTGTTTTGAAATCCTAGTAACTTTCCGGGTCTCCCTGGAACCGTTCAACCCACACACACTTGCCCCCATCTGCCGATAGCCCACCTTGGGTTCCTCTCTGAGCAGTCCGGACTTCCTCCAAACGGCTCTGCAGGTCTGCCGATCTTTGTTCCAAGCGACATTTCGCTTTTTCACTTCCAACAGCTCCTTCTCCATGTTGAAGCTATTTCCCTATTCCACCAGCTTTCCAGCAGAAAAAAGGGAGAGGCGGCAAGTTGTCAGAGGCTTAATGCTGTCCAGCTGGCATAGATAAGACTCCGGGCTCCCAGCCAGTTCCAAACTATTTGATTTATTTGACAAAGTTCAAAAGTACATCTCCAGCGTTTCAATTAGCGTCCGTCCCCTTGTTGCACAGTTGCCGCCTCTAATCTTTCTTCTTCCTTTTCCGTACCCAGCATGCAAGTCTGCGGAAACCCCTGCCCTGACTTCCTCTGTGTACAGAATGACTTGTTCCAGGCTCATCCTCCTCCCCCTCTACGTCAGACCCACTGTCAGACGACAGGCTGCTAATAATCTCTTTAGGCTCTCTATAACTGCTGGTTTCTGTTCTTTCATCTTTTCCCGTTTGCCTCTCCCGGAAAAGGACCATAGCTCACTGGTGATGCAAGTCCCAGAACAGTCTCCAGCATCTCCAGGTGAAACTGAAAACATCACCTGCCTGGGACCTTGTAGAGCCACTGCCAATCAGTACAGACAGTGCTGAGTTAGGTAGCTATGATCCATCCACCATCATCCTTTGCCCGAAGGAAAGGCACATCGCTGGTCCAAATCCTTTAAAGAATTTCCCTGCTCACCAAGCCACCTGCCCTCCTTTATGCATTGCCGATGGCTTATCAAAGGGATCCTCACTGAAAGTATCATCAAGGCAGACAGCTTTATGAAATCTTGGTGCCCTTTCTTACAAAATGCTAACAGGGACAATGGCACCAGTTGCCCTCTGGACTCACAGGGTGCAGCTGATTTTGGAGCCATCAATTGTACACATTTGGAAAGACCCTTGAGAAATGATAGTCTGCCTATATTCAGCAGCTTACCACCTTGTTGTTTGTTAAAAGCTTTAATAAAAAGCATGCTTAAAATAAAACAGGAAAAATGAAATTTTGCTGGCTTCTTGAGAAAAGAATAACGTCTAATTATTTGTATCTGCTTTTAAATGTTGTGTCTTTTCTCTTTGTAATGAGTTTTACTGGGTCTGTGGTCATTTTAAGTTGCTTACCGTCACTAAAATATATAAATCTACTCGACTGGAAACTTATTATCCAAATTCAAACCCGCTTTTCTTTCTTAGATTGTCCTCCATGGAAATTAGATCAGCAAATGGATTCTTTGAGTGGGGAGGAGGGTTCAATGTTATAATAGATTAGATATGGACAGTCCTTCAGTACAGCACAACCTGACACTTAGAGACCTTTGAGTCCTTTCCAAAAGGACTTCACCCACTATTTAGGGGGGAAGTATGTCAGAACTGACCTTCTGCAGTACTGATTCCACATTCTTGGACTCCTAATCTTACACGTAAATTAGAGCTGAACCATCTCAGGCCCTATGGCTCTTGAAATGACCATGACCTATTGAGCAAAACCACAGAATCAACCTCTCTGGTGACTAAACCCCACTTGCTTTTACAAAATAAATTAACAACAGAGGAAAATCATGGAAGAAATAAAATGGCTTTTGAAATTAATGAAGGAGATTCTTATTATCCACATGTATTACGGGACATGTTAAAAGCGCCCCAAGGGGAAATTCTGTAAGCAAAGGTAGCAGGCTTTGAAAAGCTTATGCAGATACACAAGGACACATTGCTAAAAGAAACAAAGGGATTTGGAGTGACCATGAGTGAAGCGGTAGTACCAGAATGTACAGAATTGTACCTAGAAAAAGGTTACAACTGGATTACCTTTTTGTAAACAAAAACAACAACAACCCCCCCCCCCCCAAAAAAAACTCGGAAGCAGCAGGACTCCTTATGAACTCTTAAAAAAACAAAACACAAAACTACATAGCCCTACCTAGTCACCAAATGTGAGGGGAAATGTATACAAGCATCTTACACTCCTTTAAATGATAACCAAATTCTACAATTTTTAACCACACCAGAAGATTTGAAAAATCATGCAATTCATTTGTAGGCAAGGGAAAGCTTTCTGAAATGTACAAAATCTTACTAAGACACACAATGGGTTGAAATGACAAAGCAGCGGACGATATTCGGGGACAGTGGTGTGCTGCGTGGGGAAATGTTCCTTTCCATTCACCTTAAGCAAAGATGTGGTGACCTTGTGCATCCATAAATAACTTTCAGAAATGTATTTCATTACTTCCCAAACCTTATCAATGGGCTACCAAATGGCATTTTTTTCTATTTTTGATGAAACTGGGGAAGCAGCTTTAGAAGAAGGGGTTGCTGACATTCACTGGCCTGGAAAACACCTGATGCCAATATGATGGCATAGCGGTGTCCGCAAATTGTGGGTGGTGCATTGATGGAGAAACTAAGGCAACAAATGGGGACATGATGCCACCTGTGTTCTAAAGATACATTTCACGCAATGTGGGTTTTCTTTATTAAATATGTAAAGATTATGACGGGCTTCTTCAAATGCACACAGCCTCTTACAAGCAGAGGTTTTAGATCAATTTTCTGTAAACCTCTGTCATAAATAGTTGTCACTGAAAATACAACCCAACAATGCAATGCTGGACTCATCCCCCCTGTCAACGTGCCTGGAAAGCACGGGTCCGAGTAGTTTCCGCCTTACTCTGCTCCTTTCTCTGTGAAAGCCTGCTCTTTAGCTTTCACATCGGAGCAAATATCAATCCACCCCCTCCCAAACAAACCTTTTTTATGAGCCCCCCTGCTCTGTGTGTGCTTTAAGCTAACTGCTTTCTTTGGCTCCTGTCTCAATGTGCAGAAATTGAGCACATGAATTTTTCAGCATCGGGAGTTTTCCCCAAGATAGTGTCGAGATCAGGCGTGTTTGTATGGCTCCACGCTTGCAATTATTGGGGCTTTGGCTAAGAGGAGTGCATGCACTTTCAGCAAGACATAGCTAGCTAGCTAGCTAGTTTACATCACTTTGCTACAGTTTAAATTTCTGCATGCCATCTGCTGTTATGGAACAAGTCATCCCCATGATCCCTCTAGCCCAGTGTTGTCTAGGTTGGCCCACAGAAGCTCTCAAGGGTTTCAGACAAGGGACCTTTGCATTACAGTGGTACCTTGGTTCTTAAACACCTTGGTTCTCAAAAGCCGAAAACCCAGAAATAAGTTTTCTAACGTTTTTCGGAAGCCAAACGTCCAATGCAGTTGTCGGCTATTGTTTCTGGGGTGCCTGCACCAATCAGAAGCTGCACCTTGGTTTTCAAACATTTCGGAAGTCAAATGAACTTCCAGAGCTGATTAAATTTGGCGCTTTTGTTTTTGCTCTTTATTTTGTGTTTTTGTTTTTGATGCTTTTTCAGTTAAGTTGTTTTTGTGACTGTGTGGAACCCAGTTCAGCTACTGCTTGATTGATTGTGTGACTGCAGAAATGGATAAAAAAAAAACCAAAGTCCAAACAATGACTATCACCAGTGCAGGTAAGGAAATAATAATTCTATTATCATCTACAATACTGTCTTATTTATTTTATAGGTACAGTACATTGATGATTGCTTTCATTTTATGAATCAATGGTCTCGTTAGACAGTAAAATTCATGTTAAATTGCTGTTTTAGGGGTTGTTTTTAAAAGTCTGGAACGGATTAATCCATTTTGCATTACTTTCTATGGGAAAGCGTGCCTTGGTTTTGGAACGCTTTGGTTTTGGAACAGACTTCTGGAACGGATTAAGTTTGAGAACCAAGATACCACTGTAGTCCTATTTGGAGGTGTTGGAAGATTAGACAGCTCAGTCAGTAGAGCATGAGACTCTAAATCTCAGGGTTGTGGTTTCAATGGGCAAAAGATTCCTGCGTTGCAGGGGGCTGGACTAGAGGACCCTCGTCCCTTCCAGCCCTAAAATTCTGATTCTACAAACATGGGACCCTGAGTTGTGTCCCTTCTAGCACTCTAATTAGAGGGGAGTTTTGTGGTTACCATAGTTCCACTTTGGGGCAAGGAGGAAGTACTCCTCAAATCTCTTTTCTGATGAGAGCAGCTCTGGCATCTCATTTGGAAACCAAGGACCCAGAGTCCGGAGGAAGAATGGGGAGGCACACAATGCCAGATGCTTGAAGTCCAATGTGAAGTTTCCACAGTCTGTGTTGATTTGGGGAGCCATGTCATCAGCTGGTGTTGGTCCACTGTGCTTCATTAAGTCCAGGGTCAATGCAGCCATCTACCAAGAGATTTTGGAGCACTTCATGCTTCCTTCCAAAGACGAGCTTTATGGGGATGCTGATTTCATTTTCCAGCAGGACTTTGGCACCTGCCCACACTGCCAAAAGTACCAAAACCTGGTTCAATGCCCATGGGATTACTGTGCTTGATTAGCCAGCAAACCCGCCTGACCTGAACCCCATAGAGAATCTATGGGGCATTGCCAAGAGAAAGATGAGAGACATGAGACCTAGCAATGCAGAAGAGCTGAAGGCTGATATTGAAGCTTCCTGGTCTTCCATAACACCTCAGCAGTGCCACAGGCTGATAGCATCCATGCCACGCCGCATTGAGGCAGTAATTGATGCAAAAGGGGCCCAAACCAACTACTGAGTACATGTGCATGCTTCTACTTCTCAGAGGTCCAATATTGCTCTATTTGCAGTCCTCGTTTTGCTGATTTCATTTAATATTCTAATTTTCTGAGATTGTTAACTTGGGGTTTTCATCAGCTGTACGCCATAAACATCACAATTATAACAAATAAAGGATTGATATATCTCGCTTTGCATGTCATGAGTCTATCTCATATATTAGTTTTACCTTTTAAGTTGAATTACTGAAATAAATGAACTTTTCCACAATATTCTAATTTTTTGAGTTTCACCTGTACTCAGAAGTCTGATTCACTTTGACAAATATTTTTCAGATCATGGACTCACAGAATTGTAGAGTTGGAAGGGACCCCCCAAGGTCACCCATTCCAACCCCCTGCGATGCAGGAATCACAACTCAAAATAAACCCTGACAAATGACCTGGCAGATGTTTTTAACTGTTTTTAGAATGTTTTGGTTGATTTGGAATTACTTAAGAATAAGTGGGTGTGTTTGCCACTTTGGGCTCCTTCAGGAGGAAGGTTGGAATATATAAATTCCATCATCATCATCATCTTAACATTTGAGTGCACATCCCAAGAAGGGAGGCCTTGCTGCCTCTTGGAATAAAACAAAGTGGCTTGAAAACAAGACAGTCTCACAGGTTTACTTTAAAAGCACACACAGAGAGGGGTGTGTGTGGATACTAATGCTCTTTGTTTGATATCAGGATGCAAGGCACTTTCCAGAGACAAAGGTGTGTGTAAGACACAACTTTGATAGCAGATAATATACTAAAGACCCAAGAGCAGAAATCCAGACTCTACAGCCAAAGTCCTGTCCGATGCCATGTCAGGAGAACATTAAGCATAGCCTCCTGAATCCTGGCTGGTATTGTTTTCAACAGAGCTCTTTGGTCCAAGTTTGATCCCACTTGCGCAAATCGATTTGCAGTTGCAGGTCCGTTTCCCAAATCTGCTACAAACCATGATAATCTCCAGTACCTTTGCTAATTAGCTACTTGTATTTCGCCAAGGCAGCATTGTTGAGTTCCGTTTTAGGATGAACCAGCACCATCAGAACCTCAGTATTAAAGTGCATACCCCAAGAAGGAGTCTCTTGCTGCCTCTTGAAATAAGATAGATAAGTGAATTGGTATTTATATATTTTATTTGGAGCATTTGTACCCTGCTTGTCAGCCAAAGAAGGCCCCTAGACTGGCTTGCATACTGTCAAGTAAAACAAGACAGTGCCTGCTGGAATTTTACAGTGTTAACAACACAACACACAAAAATGAAAAGGACAGGGAAGGGAAAGGGGGGGAAGCAGATTTTGCAACAATATGCTTCTTCACACACAAACTGAGCACTAAAAAGATTTGTTCACTTCAGAAGCCAAGATGAAAGCAACTATTTACAAAAACCTAGAGGTCCAGGAGAGATTTGATTCTGTCGGTGTTTAAAAGAAAACTTGCCTAGTCTGCGCTACCCCAAACAAGAAGCAATGGAATTTTGCAGTGCAGCTTCCCAACAAAAAATGTATGAGAAGGGAGTGTGAATGAAAAGCATATATTAGTCAAAATAAATGTCTGATCTAGAGGGTCACAGGCTCCCCCGTCTTTCAGGTTTATTCAGTGGAGCACACTGTTTGGGGTAGAGGTTTGACATCTGAGACTAGATCTGCAGTACTCATAAACATTTCACCCTTTAGAGATGATTAGTCGGCACCGTCCAAGTATAGGAGGAGGGGGGTGGGGGTGGAATACAGGGTTGAGAAATAGAAGAATGCGTTCAATCTCCTACACGAAGCCAGAACCAATTATGAAGATTTACCAGTTGCTTATAGATCAAATGCATGGATCATGCAGCTGCAAAGAGGTTTACCCAGCTGCTCCCACAGGCAACATGGAATTCTTCTGTGCAATTTACTGTGTTGTTGTTGTTGTTGTTGTTGTTGTTGTTGTTAAAGATGTAAGACAAGCCTGTATTGCACTTCATTAAAAATGCCAGGTCACTTCACAACAATATACTGATGGACTCAATAGAATTAGCAATAAATACTGGGGCACAGGCCTTGGCTGGCACCCTGAAATGCACAGCCCCTGCGCCAGTCCTGAAGACTGAGGAGGCTCAAGGCCAGGGGTCAGCACCCTGTTTCAGCCGTGGGCCGGCCCACCATCCCCTAGAGCATGTGGGGGGCCGGACTATATTTTTTTTGGGGGGGGGGGAATGAACGCATTCCTATGCCCCACAAATAACCCAGAGATGCATTTTAAATAAAAGGACGCATTCTACTCATGTAAAAACACTCTGATTCTGGGACCGTCCGTGGGCCAGATTGAGAAGATGATTGGGCCGTATCCGGCCCCCGGGCCTTAGGTTGCCTATCCCTGCTCAAGGCAATAACTTTCTGCACTTCACGTTAACTCAGAAGACGGCCCAGTTGTGCTCAGATGCTCAAAATTCCCTTTTCACCTTTGAAACGGGAAGTCCAATGCCTGGTCCTGCAACTTCCTGCACTTCACGTTAATGCAGAAGATGGCTCAGTTGTGCTCAGATGCTCAAAATTCCCTTTTCACCTTTGAAACTTTGGAGAGTCTGTTTCAGTTGGCATCGAGCCAGTGTGGTGTAGTGGTTAAGAGCGGTAGTCACGTAATCTGGGCAACCGGGTTCGCGTCCCCGCTCCTCCACATGCAGCTGCTGGGTGACCTTGGGCTAGTCACACGTCTTTGAAGTCTCTCAGCCCCACTCACCTCACAGAGTGTTTGTTGTGGGGGAGGAAGGGAAAGGAGAATGTTAGCCGCTTTGAGACTCCTTAAAGGGAGTGAAAGGCGGGATATCAAATCCAAACTCTTCTTCTTCTTCTTCACCTAGCAGTGCAGCTGCCTTTATTGCAGAGGCAGGAAGTTTCCTTCCTTTCATATTCAGGATTACTGTACTCACATAAAAATAATAAAATGGTTTCTGCTGTTTGTTAAAAGTCATGAATGAACTCTCACAATTCGTTGATAAGGTAGCTTGCTTGTGTTTCGAGAAATCGTATAAGAGGAGCATTCATAGGAAGTTGCACTTGACAGAGTCAATCTAGCCTAGCACTGCCTACACTGACTGGCAGCAGCGCTGCAGGGTTTTCAAACAGGGGACAGTCCCAGCCCTGTCTGGTGGAGATCCTGGACTGAACCTGGGATCTCCTGCATGCAAAGCAAGGCCTCCCTCAACTCGGGAGGCGTGAGTTCTCTACTGCATTTCAACAAATGCTTGGGTGGCCTCTCTTGAGAAACGTTGCAAGAAAATGTATGAACTGGTTTGTGATAAAAAGTGATTCGTAAAGCTGCAAACAGCAAGTGTCCCAAAGTTAGGGAGAAAACATCGCAACGAAAGAGGGGGGAGATTAGTTCAGGGTCAAGCTGGGTGGGTTGTCAAGGAAACAGTGCCCTGCCCATCTTTGTGACATCTCTTGCTGCTTGTAGAAAAGACAGCAGCTACACATCCCCGTCGTGGGTTAGTTGGGAGGAGTTGGCTGAGACAGAACTGGGACGGAGAAGCAAGCGAGGGACCAACAGGGGAGATAGGTGTAGACTTTTCTTTTCTTTGCTTTAACTTTATCATTTCATTTTCATTTGTATATTTTGTGCACATATTTTCCTGTATATTTTAGACAGAGAGGAGTAGCAATAGGGTTAGAGGCAAGGTTCAGAGTTAGTGGTGTGTGAGCATTTTAAAGCAGTTTAGTTTAAACAAGAGGGGATTTCACCTGAAGAGATGGCCAGCATCGTGAATGTGTAAGTAGGATTTCTTCTGCTTCTTTTTTTTTAATCTTCTGGGGAGAGGGCTTGGGTTCCCCCACATGGCCAGCATCCCCATGGAATTTAACCCCTTCCTGAACAGCTTAACTTCTCTTCCCGCCCTCCCTTTCCCTGCCTTCCCATTCTCCCTCAAATCTCATTGCAGCTCAGCTGGTTAGAGTGAGCTACAGATAGCACCAAGGTTGCAGGTTCGATTCTCATAAGGTACAGCTGCATATTCCTGCATTGCAGGGGGTTGGACTAGATGATCCCCAGGGTACCTTCCATGATTATTATTTTTTGGATGCTTTTTATTACATTCATAGCCCACTTTTCATCCAAGCAGTTCAAGGTGGCATTTATGGCTTGCCTTTCCCCCTGTTTCCCCCCACAGCAAACCTGTTAGGCAAGCTAGGATGAGAGTGACTGGACCCAACATCAAACAGTGCACTTCATGACTGAGTGGGGATTTGCACTCGGATCTCCCAGGTCCTCCTAGTCCAGAATTCTAACCACTATACACACACACACCCTCTCTCTCTACCCCTTCTCCGTTTCTCAACTCTTCAGCCATCAACTGCAACAGACAGGCGTTCTGTCAGTCTTCCTGTCAGTCACTCTGGCTCTAAGAGAGTTTTCATTGCATTCTTCGGCTCATCTATGCCTTGATGATTTGATGACCTTCCTAGCAGCCCCCTTCGCTCTCCAGTCAGGGCTGCTGTCCTAAAAGCATTATGCTGAGGGCTCTTTTAAATGCTGGAAATGCTTCCCTTATCTTTGCTTTGCCAGTAGTGAGGGGGGGGGGAGAGTGTTGGTATCCCCCCCCCCCCGCGCACACAAACATGAGATGCACCACTGTGTTCCTGTGAGTCTGTGGGTGCATAAAGAAATGAAAAGAGCCCTATTGCTGGATCAGAGGAAAAGCCCATCTAGTCCAAACTCACAAGCAGTAGCCCACTCCTGTTGCTTGTCCTCTAGCAGTTGGCTTCAGAGGTAGAGTGCCTCTGTTCCTGGAAGCTCTCTATAGCTATGTTCAGTAATAGTAAGAGTTGCTGTTTTTCTCCTCCAACAATTGGTGTAATCTGCTTCCCAGCCCTGCAGGCTACTTGTCCTTGTAGCATCGTGTGCCTGCAAATTTCAGAAACTGATTAAACATGATGTGAAAAAGTTCCCACCAGCATTCTAAAATTAGTTGATTCTAAAATTAGTTGATTCAAAGGGGGCCCTGTGAGCAGCCCAACTCCCCACGCAGCCTATATCAAGCTAGCTTATTTGTAACAAGAATTAATTGATCTCAGACCTTAACGAAGGGTCGAATTTAAAGTGCTTGGTGCAAGTCTATAGCGACCAATCAATTGGAGAATTAAACTAGGTTTAGGAGTTGGAGTACAAGATTTGATCGGTCCCTTAAGTCATATTAAGTGCGGTTTTGAATTTGGATGCTGGACGCTTGCGCAAATTTGATCGCGCCTGCGTTAAAAAGGTGGTGGGGAGGCCCACGTGGTTGAACAGGGGCTCAGTAGCTGCTAGCGCAAAGCATAGTAAAAACAATGGACGCTCCTGGTCATCTGAGGCGCTTTAACAGGATTGGAATTTAACCATCGCAGTGCAAGTACACCCTAATTTAAGAACTTAGTAAATTAAGAGGACACTTCTGGGCGTCTGGTGTGCCCCTTACAAGACCCAAATTTATCCACCGCGGCAAGTGCATCCCAAATTATTGAGCTTTCTTCCTATCGATTGTTGTATAGCAATTGACATTAGTGGTTCCTTTGGTTTGGTTTGGTTATTTTGGCGCAGCAAAAAATATTTTATAAAGGGCATTGAATTCACTAGTAGGGGATTTGCATCTAAGCAATATTACAACCTGTTTGATAAGCAGCGCACTGGTTTGCATTTACCGGCTGGTAGCCTATTTCTATACTATCTTACCTGGAGTGTGTTTCACCTCCAGTGCATCTAATACTGAACTAATTGGGTTACAGTGGGCTTCATTTTCACTGCACAGTGTGGACAATACTGAACTAGCTGGCTATCAGTGTGCTGATTGTGCTTACCACTCAAAGTACCTCCCAGTGTAGACAATACTGAACTAGCTTGCTTTCTTTGTTCTGATTGTGCTTTCCATTGAAGTACCTCCCAGTGTAGACAATACTGAACTAGCTTGCTTTCATTAGGCCGATTGTACTCAACAGGTGGGCATTTTGACTTAACTTGGTGTTAGTGGCATAATTCACTGCCTGTGTAGTCATTACTGACCCGGGTTGCTGGTACGCCTGTGTCCGCATGGCTTCTGGTAGAAACCAACAGGCATCTTCCCGTAATGGTGGCAGGGCTGGCTCCTCAGGTGGACCTCAAATGTCGTGCGATCCTGAAGCATTTGCTCAATTTTTCTCGGCATTCGAAACCTTTTACATGCGGTGCAGGCCAGGAGTGAGGGCGCTTCCTGCTCCCCCTCCTGCATCCCAGGATTACATACCTGACACCCTTCCGAGTAATCAAGAGCGCCCTAGTACCTCAGCCTCTGGCTCTGGCCCCGCCCCGCCCACAAACACCTCCGGTTCCCGCCCCTTAACATGTTCCCAGTCCTCTCACTCCCTTAGGTCAAAATCGGCCTCCTCGGGTGTTAGGACCCTTCATAATGGGCTTAACAACACTAACAATCAGCAAGCCATAGATGTGCCCAGTATCTTTCAGGATCCACCACCGCAGCCCACAACAGCAGTAGGAGATTCCAGGTCCTCTTCCGATGGGGAACACCAGGGACACCAGGACGTGCCCTCGGCTGCAGCCCCGACCACGACTACCGGTGAGGAACAGGGCGGAAAAAGGAAATCCAAGAAGAAGCACACGTCAAAGAAAAGCAAGAAAAGCAGGACGTCAGACTCCGAGGATGAGTCAGGTACCTCCTCTTCCGCTTCGGATAGTGACGCCCCTATGGAAGACTACTGGGGTTTGGGCGAGGACATTTCCGTGCTCCTCTTGTGGGTCCACGAGAGGAGGGCCAATTCCCATCGTAAGTCCTTTAACGGGTCCTTAGAATGGGAAGGGGGGTCATTGGTGGAAGATGTAAAAACATCCACCAATGTGTCCACTGACTTTATATTAGGAAACCACTTATCACAAAAGAAAAGAACTAAGATTCTCAATGGGGACTACATTGATATATTTACTCTCCTCCCCCGACTAAAATGACAGGGAAAGGAGAAAAGAAACGTTTGTATGGGAAGCGGAGGTATAGGACCCCCCGAGCCGAACACACTTTTGAAAATTGGTTAGATGGGTACCAGGTTTTTATGGGGATAGTTTCAGTGGCTTATCCCAAATGCGTGATGCATCTCATCGCAAACATAGCGCATGTGAGAAGGGCATTTGCCCTAGCGAGGGAGAACGCCGCTTTATCTTATGATGAAGATTTCCGTAGAAATGCTTCCCTTTTACCATCCACTCGCTGGGACCTGAGGGACCAAAACTATTGGATGGAGCACGTAGGCCCGTATGTTGAAAAGAAATCTCAGGACTCCTCTAAAACTGGGAAGGTGGAACCAAAGTGGCGACGTCAATGCTGGGACTTCAACAAGGGGGTCTGTTCTCGGTCGGCCTGTAGGCATGCTCACGAATGTGAGAGGTGCCTCGGCAGCCATCCGGCCTCAGCGTGCTTTAAGGGTAAGCAGCCCTTTCGGGGCGGAAGGGGGTACTCACATCAAGGCACAAGGGGTACCCTCGGACAACCCCAAGGGACTGCCGGGGACCGCCAGTAATAGCTCTCTAGGGTTAGCCTTCACTCCAGTCAAACTACATCCTTTAAAAACCCTGCTAGATAGTTACCCTGATAAAAAAGCAGCCAGATACCTTTGGGAGCGGTTTCTTTAGGCTTTAGAATCCCGCTTTCTTTCCCACCCAACCCTTGCGATCCTCCTAATCAGAAATCAGTAAGGGAAATGCCTGAGATCGCGAGAAAGAAAATTCAAAAGGAAATCGCGGCTGGGAGGGTGGCCGGTCCCTTTAAAGTGCCACCTATCGATGGTTTGCACATCTCCCCGCTGGGCATAGTCCCTAAAAAAGGCCCCGGGGAATTCTGCATGATCCATAATCTTTCCTACCCAAGGGGTGGCTCAGTCAAAGATGCCATACCACAAGAGCTTTGTTCGGTAAAATACGCTTCTTTTGACCATGCCGTAAAACTGACACGCAGATTCGGAAAAGGGGCGCTGCTGGCAAAATGTGATATCGATTCGGCCTTTCGCCTCCTGCCAGTACATCCCAAAGATTTTCGCTGGTTGGGTTTCAGGTTCGAAGGATCTTACTTTATCGACAAAGCAATGCCAATGGGTTGCTCAGTGGCATGTGCGGCCTTTGAATCCTTTAGTACATTTCTGGACTGGGCGCTCCAATTCAAAACAGGTTCCACTGGGGTGTCACATTACCTCGATGACTTTATTCTCGTTGGTGCCACAGAACAGGAGTGCACCAATTTGTTGAAGGCATTCATATCCTTAGCAGAGGAACTTGGTGTTCCGTTGGCGGCAGACAAAACCGAGGGCCCAGCCACAACCATGGTTTATCTAGGCATTGAATTAGACACAATCGCCCAGTCCTCCAGGTTACCAAGGGAAAAACTAGTGGCGCTTAAGGACTTAATCCAACAGCTCCTCCCGTTAAAAAAGGTTACTCTTCGGCAAATCCAGTCTTTATTAGGCCATCTAAATTTCGCATGCCGAGTAGTATCCCCGGGCCGCCCTTTCTGTGCCCGTCTGGCTAGACTGTCGGCGGGCCTTCGGGCACCCCAACACAGAGTTCGTCTTTCCAAGGCGGTTAAATCCGACCTTGAAGTATGGCTGCAGTTCCTAGACAAGTATAATGGCATTTCTTTGTGGCAGGACACCATGCTGCTCCATGCTGATTTTCAGGTCCAATCAGATGCGGCAGTCTGAAAAGTAGTCTATTTTAAGTCTATTTTCTTTCTCCTGCTGGCATGCAAGGGGGAAGGGAGTGTGCATCTCTCAAGAAGGAGGTGTCGCTCATTGAAGATCTCCCTGGTCTGACCGAAGACCAGCCAGGGAAGATCACCGGCAACAGGCCCCAATGCCTGGGAAGAGGAGTCAGCCTTTCCCGAGGGGGCCAGTTTCCAACAAGTGGTAGCAGAGTTGCTGGTTGTGCCACTTCCAACGACGTCTGCCAGTTCCTGATGGATGGCTGCCTGGTGAACGTGGATCGAAGGATTCTCCGGTTCATCGAAGTTCAGCTGTTTTCCTGCTGTTTGTTTTTTGGATTAAAACACAGCAAAAGTCAAGTTCCTGCATTCCCGGGAGAGCTGTTTACCCTGCCGGTAACCGCCAAGGAACTGTGAGTACTCTGTGCTGATTTATGGGCTCGTTAAGCATCAAAGGCAAAGGACGCACGCCGGAGTTGAGCAGTTAAGGCTCAAAGGCTGTTGGAATTTACAGCTTGCTTGCTGCCAAGGATTTACAGCTAGTGGTGGATAGCTGTTAATTGGGATCACGATGGATGCCAAACCGGGGACGGGGCTGCCCTACCCTCCGCCGTTATCAGATGGCAATTATTCCTCCTGGTCTCTGAAAATGCAAGCCCTGCTTGAGAGACAGAGAATATTTGGAGTAATTCGAAATCCCATTCCTGCTGCACCAACAAGGGCCTGGAATGACTCTAACATGCAGGCAAGGTCTGCAATCGTCTTCTGTGTAGGGGACGATCAGCTGGTGCATATTTCAGGTTTGGAATTCGCAAGGGACATTTGGCTTGCTCTACGACGTATTCATATGCGCGAAGCAGCTGGGACTGCGCTGTTGCATTTTGAGAAGCTCACAAACTTGAGACTTAAGCCGGATGGGGATATCCAGGCGCATCTGACACAGATGCAATATCTTCGCCAGCAGATGGCGCAGAGGAATTTTCCACTTGATGAGTCAATCTTTGTTTCATGATCATAAACAGCTTGGATCAGAGATTCAAGATGGTTGCGAGTCAACTGGGTTCGCTCCCTGCTGCAGATCTGACGGTGCAGCGCATTTGTGCTGTTTTGCTTAATGAGAATGACAGACTGGCTGCAATAGCTGTTGCTGATGGGGTGAGTGAAGCTGCATCTGCCAGTACTTCCCCCACCACTGTTGTTGCTCAAGAGGAGCAGGCTGTAGCCCTAAACGTCATTCGATGCTACAATTGTGGTCAGGCTGGCCATTTACAGAAGAACTGTAAAGAGAGCCGTGTTTCCAAAGGAGCCAAGGGGAGCTCAGCAAAGCCAGAGGCTACAAGCAAGGGTCGTGCCAAGGCACAGGCGAGACCAGCAAAGGCTTTGATGTCGCCAAAGGCTTCATCATCGGTTGAGAATGCGTTTGTAATAGACGCAGGAGCTACAGAGCACCTAGCGGCACGGCGAGAATTATTCTCTACATTTCAGGATCAACGCTTCACTGTGAAACAGGCCAATGGTCAGGAGATGGAAGCAACTGGAGTCGGGACTGTATATCTGGAGAGTCTGAATTTGACTATAAACAATGTTTACTTTGTCCCAGGTTTAAAATTCAACTTGCTGAGCGTATCTCAGATGACAAAGAAAGGATTGGTGATATCCTATGATGAGAAGAGATGCAGGATCTTCAAGGACGGAAAGCTGTATCTTTCTGCCAAAGAGAAAGATTGGTAATTGGTCCTCTACCGCCCTCTTAGAGGCAAAGCAAAATTCTATCTTGTAATTGTTGATCGTTATTCTCACTATGTGTGGATTCACGTACTGGAGAAACCACAGGAAACCTTAGCAAAGTTCAGAGAGTTTTGTGATAAGGTTAAATTTGTTCATGATGCTAATGTCACAGATGAAAAGCCAATTTTTGTTTCACAGGATTTTCAAGATTTCCTTGAGAAACGTGAGATAGATCATAAGATTGCTGTCTCTGAAGCTTCATGGAACAAGAGTGTGTGTGTGAAGGTGAACACAGAATTGCAGAAAGGCATGAAAGCCCAACTGCTTAGTTCACATTTGCCCCAAGAGTTCTGGGCCGAATTGCTGAGCGCATATTCTTACACGTGGGTAAGACAGGTTTCAGCAGATATGGAAAGTTCTCCATTTGAGAGGCTGTTCCACAGAAAACCTTCAGTTAAACACTTTAGGGTCTTTGGATCGCATGTGCGTGTGGATACACCACAGGGAATTAAGGGTGTCAAGGGCATTTTTGTGGGTTATGAAAAGGGTTTCTACAGAGTAGTATTGCCTGTGTCTGATCAAGTGATTCTCACAAAGTTTGTAGCGAGCACTGCAAGACAGGAGAGAGAGGTTCTCCACACATTTCCCACAGATGTCAACACAGATGAGTATTCTGATACTGAGAGTGATACAGAGAGCTCAGAGAGTTCTGCTGACACAGTCATTGAGAAGGGTTCATACACAATGTCCAGTCCTTCACAGGTTAAGGCTGAACTGGAATTGACAGAACCACTGTTTACTGTTGGGCGTGGTTCTCCCAAAAGTCCCAAGGATGAACCAGTCAGCAAGGAGGATCTGCACCACATTCGCAGATCTGAGAGAGTCACAAAGGGAATACCACCCAAAAGGTACTCTCAGGAGTTTGCTAACTCAGCTGTTGCATGTGTTGCTGTAGTTAACAACTCAAGCCAGGTTCAAGGTTTGTCCAAGACAGAGACAAAGTCACTCCTGAAAGTTGCAAGAAGCAACGCAATTCTCCCTAGCCAAGGTAGAGCAGAAGCTCTAATTCCTTGGAAAACAGGCAACCAGGGGTTTACACTGGTGGAACCAGTGACAGGTAGTTCCAAAGGTGGAACTGAAACAACAGGGGATTGTTATGTGTATAACAACTGTTTGTTTTCTTCTCTAGATGCTGCTTTTGTTTTCGCAACTCGCTTCAACTCATATGGGGGAGGATGTTGTAATATGAGTGCTCAGCAGCTGCGAAGTAGCAGCTCATTGTTTACATCACATGAATTGTCTGATGTTTCTGAGCGTGGGACAGGATGTTCAACTCTCTTCTCAGGAATGTGTTCTCAGTGTAACATGAGACCTTCCTGTTGTTCTTGCAAAGGAGGAGTTTGTGAGATGTCTGGAGCTTTCTGAGAGAGCAGACATGCTTTGTGCAAGCTCTTATGCAGTGTACAGTCCAGGAATAAAGTAGACTTAAAATAGACTACTTTTCAGACTGTTTTCTTTCTCCTGCTGGCATGCAAGGGGGAAGGGAGTGTGCATCTCTCAAGAGGGAGGTGTCGCTCATTGAAGATCTCCCTGGTCTGACCGAAGACCAGCCAGGGAAGATCACCGGCAACAGGCCCCAGCGCCTGGGAAGAGGAGTCAGCCTTTCCCGAGGGGGCCAGTTTCCAACAGGTTCCTTAGGGTTCGAGGTCTATTTCAGAGGGCAGTGGTGCGCACAGCACTGGCCCCCGGCTTGGCAGGGAAAGCCCATCACGCGGGATCTTACCTTCTTAGAATTCTTCCCCATCGTGGTGGCTGTTCATTTATGGAGTGAGGTATTTGTAAGCACAGGGTGTGCTTTTGGACCAACAATCAGACGGTGGTATCTGTTCTTTCAACTCAGTCATCACGCTCCCCAAGGGTTGGCAATCTCCTCCGTTCCTTTGTCCTCTTGTGCCTTGAACGCAACATCTATTTTTCTGCCAAGTTTGTGCCGGGCGTTAATAACGCCATCGCGGATGCTCTGTCTTGTTTTCAGATGGACCGCTTCCGCTCGTTAGCGTCAGAGGCGGAACAATTGCCGCAAGCTTTCCCGGAGCACCTTTTGAGCCTTGGGAACATGAAGTTATGAAGGGAGTATTGGCCTCAGTGGCACCATCCACACTGAGATCATATAAAAAGGCGTGGTCGGATTTCCTAAAGTTTCGAGATAGGACATGTAACACTAGCGTTACATTCCCTCCCTCAAAAGCCAAAGTCTTAAAATATTTAGTGCACTTGAAGGGTTTAGGTAGTGCGCAAGGCTCTGGAAGGATGGCGTAGGCTACAGCCCCCTAGCAACGACAAAAGGAAACCTATAACATTTGACATTCTTTGCCAAATTCACAAAACATTGAGAACTATATGCTGGTCAAAATACGAGGCCCGCCTATTCTCAGCAGCTTACTCCATTGCATTCTTTGCCGCACTTTGGATCGGGGAAGTGGTATGCGAAGGTGGTCCGAACAATGCTCAGCGGGGTATTCTGCTAAATGAGCTGACCCTTTCCCGCACCGATCTGGTTTTGCATGTGCGCAGTTCTAAGACCGACCAGCAAGGAAAAGGTGCCCTGATTCGATTGTTAGCAACAAAGAGGGTGGGGCCTTGCCCGGTAAAAGACACTAGGCATTTCCTATACTTGAGACCTAACCTATCCGGCCCTCTTCTAATTCATAGTGATGGCTCCTTCTGTCCAGGCACCAATTCACACGGGTGATGCGGATAGCAATTGTGGCTTGCGGCCTCCCTGCAGCAGAGTTGGCTGCTCACTCCTTCCGGATTGGGGCGGCCACCAGTGCGGTACACATGGGCCTCTCGGCAGAAAGGATTAAGAACATGGGGCGGCGGAAATCAGACGCATACAAAGCTTATGTTAGAAAGAACCAATAACCAAAAGCGCTATTCCTGATCATTTCTTGTCATTTCATTTCCCTTCCAGGAGACGCGAGAATTCGCATTTGGATCGTGGGCCACAGTATCGTTCACTGGGCAGCGAAGCGGGCTGTCGCGGCTGGCTTAGGACGAGGGCTGAACTTACCCTCAGATGTGCACGTGACATGGATTGCTAAGAGGGGGATGCGCTGGGCCGAGGTGATGCCGGTCATGAGGACCAGAGTTGCAATCAAAGGCCCACCAGATGCCTTAATTATCCAGCTGGGGGAAAACGACTTAGCTTACTGTAAAGCCATAGACTTACAATGGAACATGTTTAGGGATTTTGATGAGCTACTTACCTCCTATCCTAGACTTAACATTTTGTGGTCATCACTGCTGGAAAGGCGGATCTGGAGGGATTCTCGCTGCCCCATCGCATTGAACAGAGCCAGAAAGGTTTTGCAACGTACTGTGGCGCGTAGAGTGGCGGCACTGGGGGGACGGGTAATCGACCACCCCAATATCCAGTTTGCAAAGGTGGCCCTCTACAGGGATGATGGCGTGCATCTTTCGGATGCTGGAAACGATGTTTGGTTGAAAGATATTATGTCAGGGATTAGGGATTGGTTACAGGCTTGAGGGTATTGGCGGCGAGCCTGGGCTCGAATGGCGGTTAGGCATTGGTAGGGGCATTGTTCTATTATTATGCAGATGAGGGGGGGAGGAAGCGCCATCACCTTCCCCCAAAGCAAAAGGGTAGTCCGATAAAGGATTCCGGGGGGCGTGGCCTTGTCCTAAGCCTATGGAGGTGTGGGCCCACGGCACTGTAAGGATATTTCCGTTCCTCCTTAAAAAGGGAGCAGGCTGTTGTGAGTCACAAAGTCTGCGTACTTCCGGCTCACAGGAAGTTTCTGTTTTTGTATATAGCTTTTGTCTCTCTCTGTTGCCTCGACACGCAGGCAGTCATGTTTTTTCTTTGTTCTGACCAACGCTGAATAAAGCTGTACATATGCTGCTCTCCTGAGTGCATCTTTCGTTGTGCGAACTCTGCGAAAAGGGCGTGCATGAGTCCTGGGATGTGGACAGATATTTCCGAGGCTCGTGTCGCTAATTGACTGATACTGTATCTATGGGAGATTGATGGATCGTCCTGAGACGACATGGAGGCATGATGGCCTTTGTCTCCCTGGCAGTGTCCCAACAACAGGTTTCGGGCCCAGATTCACTGCACTTACAGGAGAGTAAGACTGCGAAAGACTGCGAGAGGTATGTGTGGAAAAGTCAGACTTGTGTGGGGCCTGGGAGACGAGCCAGAGGCCTCATGATTTATGAGCTGCCAAGATAAGGAGTTTTTGAAGTGAAAAAGACTCACGGCTCAAGTAAAAACCTGGAATGGAGTTTTTACAAGCCTCAGGTGCTGTTCCGTGCCCAAAGCTTAATGCCCACAATTATGAGACCTGGGCAAGGTGGTGTGAGGGCCTGTTGCGTCAGTTTGGAGTGTGGCATACAGTGTGTGAAGCCCCTCCATTTCCTCTGACAGATAGATGGAGGGCCAAAGATTCAAGGGCCATAGACGTGATTGTCTGATCCGTCTCTCTGAAGGAAATTGTAACACTGGCTGGCAACACGACAGCAAGTCAGATGTGGAATGCTTTGAAAGTAGCCCATCTGGCAGTCATCCCAGCCCAGAGTTTGACTGTGTCAGAGGTCCTGGCTGTTTCCCAGATCGAGAGTGATTGCAGGGATGCCGAGGGCACCGGTTGCAGGCTGCAGGGGGAGCTGACTGTGACATCATCCCAGGCAGCATTCCAGCCTCCAGGGGGAGCCAAGGAGTCGGCAGCTGAGAGCTCTGTTTCCCATGAGAGCCAAGGTCATCCTCACAGATACCGGAAGGCCAGAAGTAAACAGAGACAGAAGCCTGCAGATGGCCCGAAGCAGAAGGGGGGTGGAAAGCCCAGGCCAGGGAACAACAAGGCTTTGTTTGCTGGCACTGCTTCACTAAAGGCCAAAGGCAAGTTTGATGGCCAGGAGCAGGGGGGCAAGCTGCAGCCCAAGCCAGTGGAAAACAAGGTTCTGTTTGCTGCCACTGCTTCTCCAAAAGCCAAAGGAAAGTTTGTTGTTGATTCTGGAGCCACAAGGCATTTATCACGCCTCAAGATGGAGAGATCCACCAGGCTGATGGAAAGACGCTGCGAATCGCAGCAGTTGGGACAGTGAAACTGGCAAGTCTGCATACAACCATCAAAGACGTACTTTATGTTCCAGATTCTGCAGACAGTTTGCTCAGTGTCCCACAGCTGACTGGGTGTGGCTTTGAGATTTCCTTCAAGAAGAGCATCTGTGTCATCAGGAAAGGCAAAGAGGACATTTTGCATGCAAAGTTTATGGATGGCTTGTTCGGTATAACTTACGATGACAATGGTGTTGCTGTGTCTAATGTTGAATCTTGTTGTGTTGCACAAACTAACAAAGATCTTCATGCAGGATGTATTCACGAGGCGCACCAAAGATTTGGCCACATGTCTTGGCAGGCACTGGCCAAGATGCCTGGGTTGGTTCAGGTTTTGAACATCAAGCCCTGTAAGTTTTACATGAAATGTGTATCTTGTGCAGAGAACAAGGTGAAGGTTGCTCCAAAAGGCAAGGAGTCTAGCAGGCAGGCTTCCAAACCCTACCAGCTAGTCCACGCAGACCTGGTTGGTCCACTTACGCCCTCTTTGGGTGGAGCAAGGTACTTCATGGTACTTCTAATTGATTCTTTTTCCAGGTACATTTATGTGTTTGTGCTCCAGCAGAAGTCAGAAGCGTTTCCTAGGTTCAAGGCATTCTGTGCATGGTTGGAGAATGCTCACAGTAAACGTATCGGCTGTCTGTTTACTGATCGAGGCGGTGAATTCACTTCTCAGCAGTTTGACGCTTTCCTGACTGAGAAGGGAATCCAGCACGACCTCTCAACGCCTAGATCCCCATGGATGAACGGACTTGTTGAGCGAGCAAGCCAGACTTTGCTTCAAGGCCTAAAAACCTTGTTGCATGATGCCAATCTCCCTGAGAAGTTTTGGAGGGAGTCTCTGTCCACGTTTGTTTACACTTATAATCGCAGATTGTCATCACCTATTGGTTGTACACCCTATGAGAAGATGTTTGGTAAGAAACCTTACGTCAAGCACATGAGAATCTTTGGTTCTGACATGTGGGTCCACACCCCACAGAGCAGCAAGCTTGGAAAGCGTGGGGCACATGGTTTGTTCATGGGGTACGAAAAAGGTGCATACAGGGTATGGATGACTGACTCGACGTCCATTAGGTTCACAAAGAGTGTTGAGTACAATCCTAAGTGGGGGGGGGGGAATGTGGGAATTTTCCAGAGTCACTCAGAGGAAGATGAAGATGATGTGAAAAAAAGCAGCTGATGTTGAGGTAGAAGAGGAAGCTAAGGATGATGAGGGTGATGATCAGAGTTCGGATTCCAGCTCAGTGGGCAGTGCTGCTGCTGGTGTCAGCGACAGTGATAACACAGCAGACTACAAGAGCGCAAAGGCCTCAGTCAGACCATCTGATGCGTCTGACAATGAACTGGAAGAACCACTGTTCACCATTGGTCGCTTTTCTCCTAAGAAGGAGGAGATGAGTGAAGAAGACTTGCGTCTAGTACGCAGATCTGAAAGGGCCACAAAAGGCAAACCTCCAAAGAGGTTTCTGATGAGTTTGCTAAGACAGCAACTGCTGTTCTTAGTACCTCAGAGAAGGTGTGGGAACCTTCAAACTTCAAAGAGGTTCAGGAGTTAACCTCTAAAAATGCTGAGCCATGGCTAAATGCTATGAAGGCTGAAGTTGATTCCTTGGATAGGAACCAAACTTGGGAGCTGGTACCGGTAGTCCCAGGAATGAGACTGGTTGGCAGCAAATGGGTCTTCAAGGCTAAGACAGACCAGAATGGCAAGGTTATCAGGCACAAAGCCAGATTGGTTGCCAGAGGTTTTTCACAGGTAGCAGGACAGGATTACCACGAGACCTACTCACCCACCGTCAAGTATGAGAGCATTCAGCTAATGCTCAAGATTGCTGCAGAGGAGAAACTGCACGTTTCCCATCATAACGTTAATACAGCTTTTTTGTACTGGGTTTTGGGGGAAGAGCTGTATATGCTTCCACCTGATGGAATGCAGATGCAGAAGGGAATGGTCTGTAAACTTCGGAAGACCTTATATGGTCTCAAGCAGAGTGCCAGGTGTTGGAACACAAAACTAACTGAGACATTGCTTTCTCTTGGTTTTCACCAAGGCAAAGCTGATCCATGTGTGTTTGTCAAGGAGGAGGGGCAAAACAAACTCTATTGTTTATGTTTTGTTGATGATCTTCTGATGTTTTGGAAGAATCAGGCTTTGTACCAAAGCACCCTAGCTCAGCTGAAGGAGCACTTTGACATGAAGGATCTTGGTGAGGTATCCAACTATCTTTCTCTGCAGGTGGAGAGGGACCAAGCAGGTAATTTTCTGGTACACCAAACACAGAAAATTGCTGGTGTATTAACCAGGTTGAATTTGGTTGATGCAAACCCAGCAGACACACCGATGGTGACAGGTTACCAGGTAGATAGTACTGCTGAAGCGTTTCCTGACACTACGCTGTACAGATGTATTCTAGGCAAGTTGAATTTCATTGCTAGATGTTCAAGACCTGACATAGCTGTAAGCACTAACCTGCTTAGCAGACATACCAACAATCCTACTGTTCAGGATTGAAAGCTCTGAAGCGCATAGCCCGCTATTTGAAAGGGACTTTGCACTACAGGCTGAGGTTCACCAGTCAGAAGACTGGAGGTCTTGAAATCTTTGCACATGCAAGTTTTGGAAGTGACACCACGGATGGTACAAGCACTTCTGGAGTATGCTACATGTACAACCACTGCCTGTTTGACTGGCTGTGCAAAAAGCAGACGACAGTAAGCCTAAGTTCCTGTGAAGCAGAACTCAATGCTCTGTCATTTTCACTCATGGATTGTGAATGGTTGATGCAACTGTTTCAGAACATCAGAGTTTCTGTGAAATGTCCTATACAAGTGTACCAAGACAATAGATCCTGTTTGGCTTTGCTGAACTCAGAGAGTTGCAAGCAAAGAACCACGTTCTTGCAGATTATGCTACATCGCGCAAGAGAGTGTATTCAGAAAGGACTCATTCAGGTGTCCTACATGCCAGGAAATGAAATTCCTGCTGATCTGTTGTCTAAGGTTGTTACTAGAGAACAACTTAAGGTTTATGTATAGAGGTTGCAATTGGGTTGAACCACAGGTACTACAGGTTACACGGAAAGTGGGAGGATGTTAGGATATTTCCGTTCCTCCTTAAAAAGGGAGCAGGCTGTTGTGAGTCACAAAGTCTGCGTACTTCTGGCTCACAGGAAGTTTCTGTTTTTGTATATAGCTTTTGTCTCTCTGTTGCCTCGACACGCAGGCAGGCAGGCATGTTTTTTCTTTGTTCTGAACAACGCTGAATAAAGCTGTACATATGCTGTTCTCCTGAGTGCATCTTTCGTTGTGCGAACTCTGCGAAAAGGGCGTGCATGAGTCCTGGGATGTGGACAGCTATTTCCAAGGCTCGTGTCGCTAATTGACTGATACTGTATCTACGGGAGATTGATGGATCGTCCTGAGACGACGTGGAGGCATGATGGCCTTTGTCTCCCTGGCAGTGTCCCAACAGGCACGTCCCCAAGCGGTAACTCCGGGGGGAGGTCCTAGTTGACGTGCATCAGCAGGACTCCCCCTATTGGTGGTTAACCCTTACCGGTCTTCAAGCAAGCGGGCTGAAGCCGTTTAGTTGTTAGGACCAATGCCTAAGCCAATACCGCTCATTTCCTGTAATCAATAAAGTTGTGGCCTAATTCGACCCATTAACCCGAATTCTTGTGTCTCGTGTCTTTATTTCTGAGGGGGGAGGTGGGAACTCGCCACGCAACAACAACAACAACAACAACGTCTGCCCCTCTCCTTCTCTTCTAGGTTCAGGCGACTGAAGGACATGGCAGCCCGCAAGAAGAGGACCTGCAAAGTCCCCAAGAAGTCCAGGGTTGCTGTGGGCCCACATGAGCAAATGCTTCCTTTTCATTTTGGAACGTAAGGAGGGGTGGCCTTAATGCTCTAATACTCAACTGAGGAAAATAAGTAGAAATGAACTAACCTGCCCCCATGTCCTTTCCTTCTTCTCTTGTTGCAGATGGTTCAGAGACTGGCAGGGTCTTGGCATCGCCTGTGGTTAGTATTTGAGAAAACAGCACAGTACATACGAAATCCCTCACCCCCCCCATCCACCAGTGCTGTTTATACCCCCATTTTGGCGGTCTCAGATGCAGAGAAGCCCTCCTGCCATGAACTGACAGCCTGACTCTTGCCATTTCAGCAACTGCAGAAGGATGAGATGTTCCTCTCCTGCGTGCTGGCCACTTGCTCGGAGGCCCACCAGAGAGAAAAGCACAGGTTGAGGTACTCCAAAAAGATGGCCGTCAAGGCAATTGCGGTGAGTGAGGTATCCAGGGGGTACCTGGATGAGGTATCCAGGGGTGAGGTGGGCAGGAGAGCTGGGGATGGGGTTTGGGGGATGCTGGGCAGAAGGAAGGCCTGGCGGGGTCTGGCCAAGAGAAGGGTTGTGCAGGCATTTGGCATTAAATTGCCAATTCCTGCACTGAGTTTGGGGTTGGAGGAATCCACCTGATGTCCATAGGGAACTGACGTTTTCCCCTCCACCCTCTGTTCTCTATCAGGATCTCATGGGACGGATTGTGTGCTTTACGCAGCCTGAATTGGTCCTTGCTACGGCACTGGAATCCCTTTACCAACTGAGGTACACTGGGTTTTTTGAGCTTGACAAGGAGCTGGGGGGGGGAGCAAAATGTGGAAAGGTGTTTCCACCTGCTTCCCTCTCGAGCCGGGCGAGTATGAAACCCAGGAAATTTAAGGGACATCATCAATCCAGGACAGCAGCGGGAAATGGCGCTGGGATAAGGGAGTTTCCCGCCAAATAAGGGACGGTTGACAGCTATGCCAGACCTTGCCACTTCAGTGAATTACAGTGGTACCTCTGGTTACGTACTTAGTTCGTTCCAGAGGTCCGTTCTTGACCTGAAGCACCACTTTAGCTAATGGGGCCTCTCGCTGCTGCCGTGCTGCCGGAGCACAATTTCTGTTCTCATCCTGAAGCAAAGTTCTTAACCCGAGATACTATTTCTGGGTTAGCGGAGTCTGTAACCTGAAGCGTATGTAACCCAAGGTACCACTGTAGATTGAAATAATTGCTTACAATTTCTTGAGTTTTTGCGTTCAAAAAGCTTTATTTATGCAGCAAATATTTACAGGATGAGTGGAGAAGTGAGAGAAAATAGAAGATATATTCTCTAGAGATAACTTCGAAACAGCTCAGCTTTTAGGGGTGGGATTAACTAAGACCTAGAGCCTTGCAAGGAATGCGGGTGGCGCTGTGGGTTAAACCACAGAGCCTAGGACTTGCCGATCAGAAGGTCGACGGTTCGAATCCCTGCGACGGGGTGAGCTCCCGTTGCTTGGTCCCTGCTCCTGCCAACCTAGCCGTTCAAAAGCACGTCAAAGTGCAAGTTCCGGCGGGAAGGTAAACGGCGTTTGCGTGTCAAGACCCCGCAGCCACCCCCTCGTTGGAAATAACTCACACAAGGACACAGATATTAGGTTTATGTTATTGGGCAAATTTTGGCCACAACTTTATTGAATTACAGAATGTGAGCGGTATTGGCTTAGGCATTGATTGGACCTGACTATATCTGACTCCTGCCCATTGTGCAGGAAGTCCAGTAAGGGTAAGCCACCGGTAGGGGGAGCCCTGTCGATGCAAACCAACTCAAGCTTCCCCTGAAGTTCCCGTCGGGGTCGTGTCAAGGCCCTAGCCCCCAGCCGGGCTTCAGACTAGATCAACACCCCCAGATTCCTTTAACGGAATACCCTTAAGCATGGAGGGGCAGTTGATGGCCACACCTCCCCTCCCCCACACAAGGTCAAACAATGCCTAACCGCCACAAGAGCCCAAAGGCTCACATCTGTAGTCAATGCCTCAAGCCCTCTGCAATATCAGCCAGCCATATATCATGTAGAGTGTGGTGGTTAAAGGGTTAACCTTCTGTGCTTCGAGTCTGAGGGAAGGGCTTCTACGGGAAGTCAGCCAGGATGTTACATCACAGTTCTTTGTTCTTTGTTCTGTGAAAGTTAGTTTCGATTTCAGTCGGAGTTGTGCTTTGAGATGTCTGAATTTTCTGGTGGACTGATTTACTGCTTGGCATGTAAATAAAAGCTTCTTAGATTAGAAGAACCGTGTCTCTGGACTGTTTTACTCCCTGTTTTTCTTCAGGGAAGCAACGTCGCTGCAGCTCTGCTATTTCCTGCCTTAGGTGAAGTTTTCCCCAGAAGATTGCACTGAGCAGTGTTTTGTGCACAGGGGAAGCACACTGGACAGGCAGAAGTTCAAGATATCATTCCCCCAATCGGAAAGGTGCACGCCATCGTCGCAAAATAAGGTCATTTTGCTGAAAACAATGGAAGGGTGCGGGATCACCCGGCCATTCAATGCAACCACTTTCTGTGAAATGGAATGATTCAAATGCTTCCGGGCACGGTCTGCAGCGGCTGGGGAATTGCTGCCACACCAAACGCGTCTCTCCAACAGCAGCGACCAAATGGGAGTCATTCTCAGGAAATTCAGCGCAAGAGTGCCCAAGTCCTTTTTGATAGTGAAAAGCAAGTCCACGCCCTTCCGGCAAGGCAAGTCGTTCTCTCCCAGCTGCACAACCAAAGTGTTGGGGGGGGGGGACATGTGCCTCCACCCTGGCCATCACAATTGGCATCATCTCTGCCCAGCGCATCCCACGCCTCGATATCCAAGAAATGTGAATGTGCGGTGGAAAACCCAGTTGGCATCCCTGGCCATTAGCGACCGCCCGTTCCTGGGCCCAGTGGACGATACTGTGTCCCACAATCCAGATTTCTATGAGGCTTGACCCTGAAAATCAAGAAAAATGACAGAGGCGTGTAAGTGATTGGTCTGTTTTAAATTTTGGAGCTGTCGCGGATATAGTTTTTGTACGCGTTGGATCGCCAGCGACCCATGTCTTTTATTCTGTCTGTTGGCAATCCCAAGTGAGCCGCCGTTGTGGCGGCCCCGATCCTAAAAGAATGGGCAGCATATTCCCTAGCCGGAAGCCCACAAGCTTCAATGGCTTTGCGCAACACCCGAGTGAATTGCTGCCTGGCAAGACGGGACCCATCCTCGTGTACCAGGAAAGGGCCAGAACCTGGGGGCCTGAGACCCAAAAACCTTTTTGTGTCCTTTACAGGGCAGAGACCGCTTTTCATGGTTGCCATCAACCAAACCAAGGCACCCTTTCCTTTTTGGTCTGTTTTTGAGCAAAGGATGCGAACCACCAACATTGAATCAGAAAGCTGAATATCATCAAGCTGCAGGCCTTGGGATAAAGGACCCGGTTCACCTTCATGTACCACTTCACCAACTCTTAAAGCGCCAAAAAAATGCTATAGAATATGCAGCTGAGAATAAACGGGCCTCGTATTTGGACCAGCACACTGATTTTAATTTATTTCGTATATTACTGAGGAGATTGAATGGAATGGGCCTATGCCCCTCCTTACTTGGTGGTTGTAATCTGCGCCGCTGTAACAACTTCTCCTTCGTGAACCCTCCGGATTACAAACCTTTTATAGCCTTTTATAGCTTTTTACTGCCGTTTTTATAGTTGTTTTATTAGACTTTTAAATTATTTTACTTCTGTTAGAAGTTTTTAATCGTTTTACTTCTACGGTTGGCCTGTTGGTGCCAATATACGTATCAACAAGGATATTCAAACCCTCTGCTGAGAAAGCCTGTCGCTGATTAGTAACGCCGCCTTGAAGACTGGGCTATGTTGAGAAGTGGAGGAGGAGGAGTAGCAGAGGAGTTGCGCCCATAAAAGATAAGTTCTCTCTTTTATCTCCGTTTATCTCTACTTTGAACCTCCGTAGTTAGTGAGACAGCGACAAATGGGTCATGGCAAGCGACCAAGATCTGCTGAGAAAGGTTGCTCACCTCCAAGAGTAAAGCAGTCGAAGCTTGAATCTCCCCACCATCTACTAACAATAACAGCAAAACAGAGCAAGTAACTGTTTCTGCGGTCGAAACATACAACCGCTTTTGGCCTCTGTATGATCAAGGAGAGCCGGAAAAGCTAGCTGATCCAGCGGGGGACGGAAGCCATAGGGAAGCCCTCCTCCCTGATACCCTAATTACACCTCCGTCATTGAAACGGGACGCATTAGGGCAAACTGCCCATGAATTAGTACCTGATCAAATACAACTGGTAATCAGGACTTTAAGCTTCATTTTCAAGGAATTGGAGGGGATTTCTTTGACATTGAATAAACTTTCACGGGCCCTTCTGGCTCATCTACCTTCCTCAACTGAGCTATCTAATTTGCATCAATCTCCTGTGCAGCTTGTAAGTGCCTTAAAGAGACAACCTGACCAGAAATTTCACCTTAAGAGCTCAAGATGCAGGCCGCCACTGCCCCAAAGGAATAGGCAATCCTTGATTTTTCAACCTAATAAAATATGTCTAGCCATTTTTTCCCGTGACGCCCCCAGACTTAGGTGGAATAACCTGAGGATGGCTAAAGGGTACCTACGTGATTTGTTAAATATTCCTTTTTCCCAGATAGATCTTATATCTGTAGTACCCCTAATTGCCACGCCCTGGCCAAGGAAATTTATGCTCTCCTTCCAGTCTGCAAGGATTCCACATCTCCTTGCAAGAGAGAAAGATCGGCTGGCACCCTGGGAGATTGTAACAACAAGAGTCTTTAAGGACACGAGTGTTAAACCTCTTTTTGCCAACATCTTAACCGGCAATGAACGCTCGTTTCCTCCTTCTGTTCCTATAATAAAGGGGAAAACACCTAGCTGGGTACCCCCTGCTCCATCTGCGACCTCAAGTGCCCATCTAGCTACACTGAGGAATGATCCAATTGCAAGCGGAGATTGGAATATCCCTGAAGAGAGAAATCTTATCCTCTCCTATGGAAAACTCCCTTCAGAAGAACAGCAGGCTATTCTCGATAGATTGGATCTACTCAAACAAAGACTCCTATCGCAAGGGGACCCCTCTATGCCGATGAGAGAGGAGAGCAGGCACTCCACGTCCCACAAGGCGTCTCCATCAAATGCCCTGATAATCTCTCAACCTGCTACTTTGTTACCCCCTACTGATCTGAATCAGCAATCACCTGTTGACCAACAGCTCCAACAGCACCATTCTACCGTGGAGGAAGTTGATAAACTCAATACTCCCGTCTTAGACTTTATGTCCAATCAAAATATGGAAGTTGACGATTCCTTTGCCTCAATGCCTGAGCTAGAATCTACCCTGTCTGAAGATCACCAGGAAATGACTATGCATGTACCATCTCCGCGTTCACGTCCTTCTATACATCTGCGTGATAATTCTTCTCCAGCTGCGCAGCAACTACAAGTGATGACTGGAACACCTCCTAGTGCTACCCTGGTTAAGACTGATAACTCTGATGGATCTACTAGTATAGCCCATCAAAGACTTGCTACTACTCACCTCAATGAACAGCATCCGACCTCACCAACTTTGCCTAATTCTTCCTCCCCGGCAAAGCCCTTCCTGCCTGTTAATGTTACCAAATCACGGATTCAATCAACACAGAAGAAGACTTTATCCGCACAAACTAAAATTACTGATTTCCTTATGGGTCCTCGCTCTACCTCCAAGAACCCATTAAACAACTCAAAGTGACAATTACCGGGACAGCACAAGGACCCGACATTATCAATACTTAGCTGGAACATTGCTGGTTGGAGAACCAAAAATCAGACCCCGAATTCAGGAAGTACATAAATTCATTTAACATCATCCTATTCCAAGAAACATGGGATGAGGAAGAGATTACCATAGACGGTTTTGATCTTCTAACACTTCCGGCCTCCCCTTCCTTGAAAGGTGGTCGCCCCAAAGGGGGTCTTTTGATTGGGATCTCACTCCAACTTCGCGCCAAATTCACCCTGGTACGGGCTTCCCCGCCTTTTGCTCTTTCTGGACTGATCGCAGAAGGGAAGTCCTCATTACTAATTACTAATGGTTATCTCCCCCGAAGGCTCAGCACCTGATCTTGATTGGAGATGGGAATCATTTGAAAATCACCTATTGTCATGTCATACCAAATGCCCTAACTCGTACTCCTTAATTGGGGGAGACTTTAATGCTCGAATTGCCACAAATTGGGACCTACTAATCAAGTCCAAATGGTGGACTCCCCATGTTTGGGCAACTTTGACTTGGAACATGCTAGAATTAGAACTTCAAAGGACAACAGAGTAAACACAGCTGGAGTGACCCTTACCAAATGGCCAGTCGCCTGAATCTAGTATTCTTGAACGGCACCTTCCCCCGATATACCGGGGAGTTCACTCACCTGGGACCAGCATCTAACAGTGTTATCGATTACCTCTTGATCTCCGCAAATTTGGCCGTCAATGTACTCTCCTTCCAGGTTGAAAACCAACATTTCAGTGATCACCTCCCAATAGTGACCACTTTGTCATTGTTCCGGTACCAGAAGGACTATAAACACTCAGTCCCTCTGGAAACCTCATCAGCGACCAAAATAAGTGGGATCAAATGGTCGGAGGCTGTGGCCCAAAAATACCAGGATTTTTTCCATAGGGAAATCACTGCCTATCTACCTCAAATAGCTACTGATTTACAAGATTCCAATTCGGTTTTGAAATTTTTTAACCTTCTTACAACAAACCTTACCACTTTTTTACATTACCTCCTCAAAAGGCGAAAGTAGCGCATTGCAGTGCTGGGGCCCCTTGGTTTAATACCTCTTGCAAACAAGCAAGATCCCTTCTTCGTTCCATCTATAATGAATACAAAAACTCTAATGCCCAGGCTCTACCATCCTCCTATTTACAAGCCAAAAGAGCATACAAACAGACTTTAAAGCTGGCCAAACGTGAGTGGTATCTAAAGCGTTGGCGAGCCTTGATTGCGGCCTCTAGATCCCGCAGACCACAGGAATTTTGGGCTTTGATAAACAAAAGAGGAAGGAAGTACCCACTGACGATTATCCCTGCGCCCACATGGGAACAATTCTTGAGCAAATATTTCTCCTTGGCAGAGGAATCCAACTCATCCACTGAATTCCGAGCCGACCATCTACCTTTGTGGCCCTCTACCGACCCAGACCTGATAATGGACTTGATATTAGATCTGAAAACGGGCAAAGCCCCCGGGCTGGATCTAGTCCCTGCTGAGGCTATTGTTGCGCAACCGAGGTGGTGGGCTGAAATCCTGGCCAAAGTCTTTGATGCAATTAATTCTACGGGGCTTATCCCTAGGTCATGGAAGGAGGCCGTGATCGTGCCAGTCCATAAAAAGGGTCCCCCTGCTGACCCGGAGAACTATCGGAACATCAGCCTTTTGTCTATCATCGGGAAAATCTATGCAAAATTTTTGCTGTCCAAGCTGTCCAATTGGGCAAACGACTCAAATTTGATTGGCCACGAGCAAGCGGGCTTTAGGAACAATTATTCGACCACTGACCATATGGTAATCATGTATCATCTTGCCAGAAAATATTCTGCCCCGAGTCGGGGGCGCCTATGTGTCGCTTTCATAGACCTAAAGGCCGCCTTCGACAGTATCCCAAGAAACTGTCTATGGAAGAAATTAGAGAGATGGGGCATAGATAGAAGGCTGTTATGGCTTATAACCCAATTACACCATGGGTCGTCGGCTAGAGTGAGACTCACACCGGCGGGAAACCTATCCAACGAGGTCCCAATAAATAGAGGTGTGCGCCAAGGTTGCATTTTGGCCCCACTCCTCTTCAACTTGTTTATTAGCGATATGAAGCTCTTTCTGAATGAGTCTCAAGCCAACATTCATGCCCCCCGCCTAGCTGATTTTCGCTGCCCTCTGCTCTTATATGCCGACGATGCAGCGATCCTTTCCTACTCTAGAGTCGGTTTATGCAGAGCTCTAAAGATTTTTGCGGCTTATTGCAAACTCAACCATCTGACAATTAATCATGGGAAATCTAAAGTCCTGGTCTTTACCAGGTCTCGGAAAACTTACAGCTGGAAGTTAGATGGAGTCCAATTAGAACAAGTTTTCAAATTTAAATACCTGGGAGTCTTTTTCACTACAACCTAAGCTGGAAGCCACAGATACAGTATTTACTAAACAAAGGGAAAACAATACTTTATACTCTACTCCAATTTTTTGCGGCCGACGGAGCCTCCCACATCCCTTCTGCATTGAAGGTGTACCATGCAAAAGTGGTTTCCACCCTCTGTTATGCTGCCCCGCTCTGGGCCCCAGGGTCCAATTTAACATCGTTGGGGACATTGCAGAATCAGTTTCTCCGCCGCCTCCTGAAACTCCCCATGTGTGTGAGCAACGCAGCCATACGTCTGGAGTTAAGGATTGCATCATTGGAGACGGTCATCTGGAAGCGAGTCTTTGGTTATTGGCTGTCCAGCTGGCACAGGCTTCCCAACCATTACCTTTTTCAGTGCCTCTGGCGGGACGACTTTGTCAATCCATGGGTAGGAAAAATCCATGCCAAACTTCTGAGCATCGGAATTTCCCCAGCGGACTCCTTAAAGATGAACTTACGCTCAGCCAAAAGACTTATTGAGCAGAGATTAGCAGACATTGAAAATCAACACAACCTCGCCGGGGGTGAGGGTGTCTGCTCCCCCGGTATCACGGAATAACCTCACCACTTGGCCTTCCATCATACATGTCATCTCTTTCATCTGTACCACACCGACATGCATTTATTCGTGCAAGGTTCAATGTCTTTCCATCGAACCTGCTGAGCCACAGATTTTCCAAGGGTTTGGTGTCTCCGCTATGCGTGTGTGACGGGAAAACTGTTGATTCCCTCTCACATATAATGTTCAACTGTCCCCGACATAGCATAGCCAGGACTAAATTCCTGGGCCCTGCTTTACTGCGCTTGGTTGGCAGGCCTGCTGAGTCACATGCCGCACTACTTTTGCAGGATACAGATCCTTCTGTAACTCTGCAGGTGGCGAGATTCCTGAATGCAGTTATCTCACACACAAAAACCACCAAAAACAACAACATCAAAAACTAATCGGTCAGTTTTGAAGAGAGTGCATGTCGGATCCCGTCTTCAGTTCTCCTTTTCTGGGATCCGTCCCTTGGAGCTCTCCGGGCCCCAAGCTGTTATCTGGCTCTGCTCAATGACCCACCCCTGCATCATGGTGTTCACCTTCTGGTGCCGAATATATTAGTCTTTATGCCTCTGTGCTTTTATGTTTGTACATACTTTATGGGCTAATAGCCGTAAATAAATAAATAAATAAATAAATAAATAAAATAAATAAATAAATAAAATCTGCGCCACCCCTCGAGAGCCCTGCGCACCACGAACTCAGTGCAAGGGTCAGTGCAGTAAATAGATTTTGCAAAGAAGGAAATTGCAGCCGATTGTATAGTTAAGGTCTTTGCTGCACGACCAAGGTTGCACAGATGAACTAAGAATTGCAGCGCCTGGTCCGTGGTGGGGGGCTCTTGATGCGCAATACCCAAAGATTTTCTCCGAAATGCTAGAAAATCAGGCCAGGCTTTTGAGTAGGACCTAAGCATAGAAGGGGCAACCGAAACCAATACTCCCTGCATCACGTCTCGCTTCCAAGGCTCCACAGGTGCTCCGGGAATGGCTCTGGCAATTGCTGTGCTTCTGGGGCTAACGACCGGAAGCGGTCCATCTGAAATCGAGATAGCGCATCCGCAATATTGTTATTAATACCAGGAATGAATTCTGCTGAAAATATGATGTTAAATTGCAGGCACCGTAACACAAACGATCGCAGCATCGTGGACACCCTTTCTGAACGCGAAGATTGTTTGGTCAGGACATTGACTACTGACTGGTTGTCTGTCCAACCAGGACTTTGTGAGGCATACCCTGTGATGTGGTGACCGCAGCCCTGCCCTGCAGATAACCTAGCCAGCCGTGAGCAGAATGGGCGCCCGGGGGCTACCACCCGACAGGCAAAGTTTAAGTGGCCTAGCAAGGACTGAATTTGCCTGAGTGTTACTTTTTTGAGCGGGAGGAGCTGGGAGATTGCCGTTTTAAGAGCTGTCAGCTTGGCCTCAGGCAAACACGACGTCTGGGCGACCGTGTCGAGCTCGATGCCCAAGTAAGTCGTAGTCGTGACCGGACCCTCGGTTTTTTCTGCTGCCAGGGGAACACCTAACTCCAGCGAAAGAGAGGCAAGAACTTCAAGCAACGTTGCACATGAATTGTTATTTGGCGGTCCAACCAGTAAAAAATCAGATAAACCGGTTTTGAAACGCAGGGCCCAATCCGAAAAGGTGCTAAAAGTTTTGAAAGCAGCGCATGCGACTGAACAACCCATTGGCATTGCTTTATCCACGTAACAGGAGCCCTCAAACTTAAAACCTAACCAACGAAAGTCCTCAGGATGTATTGGCAGAAGGCGGATTCAATTTCACAGTTTGCTAATAGTGCCCCTCTTCCGAAGGTCCGGATAAGTTTGATGGCATGATCGAAGGAGGCGTATTTTACTGAGCAGAGTTCTCCTGGGATGGCATCATTTACTGAGCCCCCTTCGGGATACGACAAGTTATGAATCATACGAAATTCCCGAGGCGCCTTCTTGGGTACAATACCCAAGGGGGATATGTGCAAATTTGGAATAGGTGGGCTAGTGAAAGGACCAGCCACCCGCCCTGCCAATATTTCCTTTTCTATTTTCTTTTTTGCAACTTCGGGCCTTTCTCTTACAGATTTTTGGTTGGGTGGATCCTTGGGATTTGGAGCCACCGATACAGGAATTCTAAACCCCCGGGAGAAGCCCTCCCAAAGGTAGTTTGCATCTTTCTTATTGGGGTACAAATCAAGGAGGGCTTTTAGCGTGTGAAGCTTGATGGGTGAAAATGCAAGTGAAAGGGAATTATTGTCTCCGTGCACCCCTTGGGCAGGGGTTGTCCACCCTGTCTACTCTGCTGGTGGGACCCCTGCCTCCCAGAAAGGGCTGCTTTCCCTGTAACAAAACACAACAGGGTGATTCCCCAGGCACCCGTCACACTCGTGTGAGTACTTACAACTTTGCCATTGACATAACCCTTGTTAAGCTCCCAGCATACCTTGCGGCGCGTATTTCTTTGAAGTCAGATTTCAGAAATTTACCCTGGTCCGACGGTTTCTTTTCTTTTTTTTAAAAAAATTAATTTTTATTAACAAACCAATCAAATCACATTAGTTCCAAATTACAGAGTCAAATTTTAAATTGTTGTTTGGGGGTACCCATGCTTCGAGCTCAGAAAGGATCCGATCATCTCTATTGCTGCTGCTTTGATGTTCACAGCTCTGGCCAAATAATGTTCACAGTTCTATCCATTCCTCTCTTTGTTGTTTTCCTCATCTCTTCTTGTTGTTTTCGTATATTTTTCCTTTCTTTGTGACCTCTGATAGTCTCCACAAGCGAGTTGAAAACAAGCGTTTTTATAATCCTGTGTGGATTTTTCCATTCATCCAAGAGTCATATTCAGACAGCAGACGCATTTCATCACTTCCATAGAAAACAATCTTAACGTCTGCTCATTAATCTTCGCAGGCCTGTCACTCCCTTCTCGATCTTCTCAGGGGTTCTGCCAGGTCAGACACAAGTGTCCAATATAATAACAAATCCATGGCTTCCTCCCCCTCTTGATCGTCAACCCTGCAACAAAGCCTGCCGTCATGGCGAATCTCTTTTTATAACTGCGTCATTCCAAAAGCCTTTCACTCCTTTCCAGATCTCCACAAGCCAAGCCTTTGGTTAGTAATTCATTTCCACACAGTTTCTTAATCACCCCACTTATAGTCAATTGTTGCAACGGTTCTTCTTGGGGAGGGATTGTTAGGTAATCACATAGAGAGAAAAAGAAAAGTCCCCCCCCCTTTCCGATATACCGACCCTTTGATGTATCTTCTTCTTGATATATTTTCCTGTTGAATCCAGCCCGTCGCTCAACTTCACAGAGGTCACTTCAATTAGCAGTCTAAACTCCCGTTCTTCACTCGAAGCATGTGCATTTGCTGCTCTCTCTAATTGTTTACTTTAAGCTCCTGCAACCAGGTCGCGCGATCAGAGACGGCGTCGGGAGAGCCAGAAACCCACACGAGTGCTGTGCGCCTAGTGCCTTCACCCCCTTCTTCTTTCGAACTCGGGGGTGATTTATCGGCAACCGCAGGCGAAGGCAGTGTTTTCCCCATTACCTGGGGAAACAAGGGAGGCTACATACTCCCATATTAGCCTCTTAATTACCCCGTGTGAGCCGGAGAGATGGTATTGTCGGCCATCTTCCAATGCGCCCCTGGCGGCCCCCCCGGCGGTTTCTTTTCGATGTGGGGACCCATGTACGTAAGCCAGATAAATTGGTCCACCCGATCCCAGTGTGCAGAGGGCAGCAGTGCAGCGTTTCTCTGGAACATTTTATCTAATGAATGGCCGCAGATTCTCTGCCCGTGGCGTAGGCCGTCCTCACGAGTGCTTGATAGACAATCAAATGCATCGCTCTTTTTGGATAAGCCGCTGCTACTACGCAGAAAAAAACTTGGAAGCCATTTAGCCAATTTTCAAAAGTTTTATCCGCCCTGGGTGACTATTACTTTCGCTTACCATAAACACGCTTTCTTTCAGATTTTTCATCTAGCGGGAGCAGCTTAAAGATATCTACATACTCACCATTCAATATTTTGGCCCTGGTTCTTGCAGACAAATGATTACCCAGGATAATATCTTTGGGCCTGTTGGTAGAGACTTTAACGTCCTCCAGTAGCACCCCGTCCTTACACTTCAAGGTCCCGCCAAACCGCTTACAATGGGAATTTGCTCTCCTATTCCATGTCCATAACGGTAAACCAGGAACCCCTTCACCCAGGCCCCAGTAGCAATTCAGTGACTCATCGCTATCAGTCAGAGCTGGATGAAGAGGAGGAGGACGTACCTGAGTCCAAGTCTGAGTCGTCCCTCTTGGAATTCTTGCTCTTCTTGGAATGCTGCTTATGCTGTCGCTTTTGGGTGCTATAGCTGCATCTGGGTATTGAAGCACACTTTCGCCCTCTGAGGACGTGTAAGCGCCTGCGATTTGTGCCAACGCTTTGCTCGGTGTGGCGCTGGAAAACGACACTGATGGCTGCCTCCCAGCCGAGACAGGGGAATGGGGGGAAGAAGCCCGCCTATCCGTCTTTCGCAAGGCCTTCCAGCCTGTGCGCCGAGGCTGCTCATCCCTCCTTTGGGGCACGATGGCAGACTGAACATTTGTTCGCGCGTGCGATGCAGAACGAGATTGCTTGCTGTGGGGCTTAGGCGTGGGAGCCCCCTGCTGGGGTGCGGCATTAGTCACTTGCAAATTATCAAAGAAGGCCTGGGATGTGCCAGGCATCTCACCATCATCACTCTTGGACCCACTAGAGTCGCTGGCTCCCGTATCAGGAAGCCCAATTCCCTCTCTGAAGCCAAAACACTCTTTCTGCCGTCCCATGCAACACACAACCCACGTGCACACAAACAAACTGGAAGGACCGGCTGAAGCAACCACAATCAGCGGCTAAAGCCAAGGCAGCGCTGAAGCTGTATTAAGTAAACAATGAGCCGCTTGAGGCAAGCTGGAAGGAGCCGCGTGGGGCTCAACAGCCATGCCGAGCGGGGGGGGGGTGTGTGCTGGCAGGGGTTTGAGCCGCCGAAGGCAGTGGTCCGGAGACGGTGCTCCAAGGCTCAAACCGCGCCCTAAAGGTTGAAGCGCTGGAAAGCCCCAAACACTCTTTGCTGTCTATCCGTCTCGAAGAAGACTCAAACACTCCCCTAAATTGCTCAGCGCTCGGTCTCCCAACGGCTGCTACTCAATGCAGAATGCCGTGTTTAAAAGGATAACCGAGCCGTTCGCTAGCCCTGTGGCGAGGGAGGAAACAATAAGAAGCAATCCTCCCCTCGGGGCAGCGAGGGAACACAGATGGGGGGAGCCGGGGACCCAAGGGAAGGCTACAGCGAAACGCCTCTGTGACCGAGAGTGTAAGGTGGGGGCGCGCGCAATGGGACCCACCAGCACCGCCGCTAGCCTTTAATCCACGCAGCTCGAACAGAAGCCATGAACGAGTGCACTTCAGCCGAGTAGCCCCCGAAAGGATGGATGAGGAAATGGGGGGGGGGGGGAGTTGCAACCCCAGGTGCCTTTGGCGGATCGGAAATGTGGAGAAGGGCCAGGAAGGAGGGACAAAGGACAAAAGCAGGCAGTAAGCAGTTCTGAGGGGGCGCAACAACACACCCACACGGTTTTTCCTGGTCCTTCTCGCAACGCTGAACCACGAGGCAGGAAACAACCAAGAAACAAAACAAAAGGCAAAATCCAAAGAGCAGAGAGACCGACGTCCTGATCGATTGAGGAAGCGAGCCAAAGAGGAAGAGGAAGTCCTCTGGCTCGCTCCTCCATTTAAATGGCCCCAGCCACGCCCCCCCCGGCCAGCGGATTGGCTGGCTGGGCTCTGACATGGCCGGGATCCCCCAGGCAACGGGGGACAAAGTCCCCCAGCCCCGGTGGGAAGTGGGTGGCCACACGGTCCACCGCAACTCCTCCCCAGTGGGAAGTGGAGCGGATTTCCGTGCACTGCTCTGGTTCGCCAGAAGCGGCTTAGTCATGCTGGCCACATGACCCGGAAGCTGTACGCCAGCTCCCTCGGCCAATAAAGCGAGATGAGCGCCGCAACCCCAGAGTCGGTCACGACTGGACCTAATGGTCAGGGGTCCCTTTACCTTTAGAGGCTTGCAAACAAAGTGCCAGGTAGACTGCCACATAAACAGTGTCCTCGTGTGTTTATTTTAATTTTATCTTTATTCATTTTTATCCTGTAAAATTTATTCACTGCTTGGTTGTAAAAAGTGGTTTAAGCTAACACATGCATTCACTAGAAGTTCAAGAAATTGAAATGTATTTGATGCCCCCTCCAATATGAGACAGAGTCTAAAACTTTTCCTCCTTCTCTCCAGCCTCATGAAGCCCAAATTACCACTGAAGCTCCACAGCCTGATTGTGCATGCAGCCTTTGCGGCGGTCATTGAGGTAAAAACTGAGCCCGACAAGCAGGTAAGTTGTTAGTCTTGAAATTTGACTTCTATAGTTGTTTCTTCTTCACACGCTTTAAGCATTGCTCCCATTGCTCAACATCTGATCTCTCTTTCCCCTGCTTGGCGCATCCTCTCCCTCCCTCAATGAACCCATGTGGATGAAAATTGCCATTGCCTGTAGGAGTTAGAGGAACGTTATAGTCTGATGCTGAGAGGCCTCCTCTGGGAGGCCCCAAGCACTAAGATCCTAAACTTGCTGATGAATGTAAGTATATTGATGGCCTCAGTGGCTGTTTGACCTAGAAAGCTTTCATGGAGAAGCCGCCACCTAGCATATACTTTCTCAGCAGTGCACCTCTTGGGCCCTTCCCCTCTTGTAAGGCAAGCTGGCCACATGGAATAGGCAGCAAAGGCCCACTTGCCCAGACAGCCAAAGGAGGGCCTTGGATACAGAGCTACAATTTGGGGCTGGAGGACATTGCCATTTTAGAACAGAAAAGGATCTCTCTCTGAGAGTGTAAAGGGCTTCACAGTGGTCTGCCTCTCTCCCCCAGAGCAGCCTCCTGATTCTGAGGTCCCCTTTCCTCCCACAGGAACTGAGAGGTTACACAACAAGTGTGGGTAGACGCACACCCGTCTCGCTCTTGGAACTTCACTAATTAAAAGCCTGAAAAACAAATAACTCTCTGCAAACTGATAGCTGAGATAACTCACCAAAAACTGGGCTTAGGTCCAAGTCCTGGATTGGGGTGAGTTAGTGTTTAAAACGGTGGTTTATCTATTTATTTGGGAAAGACTTGAGAAGGACTTAACAGGATGGCCAAGTCTTTGAAGGAGCTGGGTGAAATGATTCAGCGTTCGGAAGCAAATGTCCGCGCTGATATGCAAGACTTGAAAGGAGAGATGAGAAGAATGACTGCTACAGTAGAAAAAGTTACAAAAATAGCAGAACATGCAAAAGAGGTAGCTGATGCAAACGTAAACAAAATAGAATCTCTGACAAAAAGAATTTCACAAATGAATGACAGACAGCGCAGAAGGAATTTAAAATTCTCTGGTATTTCTGAATATATTGGGAATAAGGACCTGGAAAAGGAGATGTTAGAATGGCTCAAAGAACAAGGAATTGAAATTGAGCAGAATGAAATTGAGAGAGTGCACCGGGTGTTCACATCACGAGGAGGCTCTGGACTACCCAGAGATGTAATCATGGCATTCACAAGAGAGAAGTTAAGAGATCAAATTTATAAATCACTCCGGCAGAATGCAGACCTGCAGTTTAAACAGCGAAAGGTCATAGTGAGACACGATTTTTCTCAGGAAACGCTTCAAGACAGGAAACATATGCAGCAGTTTGCACAAGCTCTCTACAATTATAAAATCCTCTTTACCTGGGCCTACCCTGCTACACTGCTGGTTTTTAGAGACGGCAGGAAATATTCTATTCTTTTCTAGAGCATTCTCTTCTCTCCCGGAATAATCTCTTCTCTCCCAGAATATCTTGGAATGTCCCAGAGTGCTCTAGAATGTTCCAGAGTGCTCTAGAACAGCGGTGCTCTAGAACAGCAGCATCTTTTCTAGAGCATTCTCTTCTCTCCCACAATAATCTCTTCTCTCCCAGAATATTTTGGAATGTTCCAGAGTGCTCTAGGACAGCGGTGCTCTAGAACAGCGGCATCTTTTCTAGAGCATTCTCTTCTCTCCCAGAATAATCTCTTCTCTCCCAGAATATTTTGGGAAGACGGAAGTCGAGAGGGGAAGGAAACAGCAAGAAATAATATATACTAAACTAAGGTAAAGGGACCCCTGACCATTAGGTCCAGTCGTGACCGACTCTGGGGTTGTGGGACTCATCTCGCTTTATTGGCCGAGGGAGCCGGCGTACAGCTTCCTGGTCATGTGGCCAGCATGACTAAGCCACTTCTGGCAAAACAGAACAGCACACGGAAACGCTGTTTACCTTCCCGCCAGAGCAGTACCTATTTATCTACTTGCACTTTGACGTGCTTTCGAACTGCTAGGTTGGCAGGAGCAGGGACCGAGCAACGGGAGCTCACCCCGGCACGGGGATTCGAACCGCTGACCTTCTGATCGGCAAGTCCTAGGCTCTGTGGTTTAACCCACAGCACCACCCACATCCCAGCTAGAGACATCTAAAATGGGCTTTTGTAAATATATATGTGTTTTTTTCTGATATAAACTTTACAAGAGCGAAGGGAGAGGAGTGTGGTTCTCCAAGATACCATGAGACAGGGATCATGGAGATCCCTAGCTGAGTCTCAAGGGGGAAGGGGGAGGGGGGTTGAATGGGCCAGAATTGAAAATATAATATATGTACACAGAGGGATTCAAAAAATAAACAGTAGTCAGGATAATGGATAGATCTTTAAAGGTTTTATCTTTAAATGTTAATGGGCTGGCCTCAAACACCTAACGCTACAGGGTACTGACACTGGCAAACAAAATGAAAGTGGATATACTATGCCTTCAGGAGACATATAGAGCCAAAGCAAACAATAGACCTTTGTTATGCTCTCAGCAATAGGGCCTAATAGCAGAATCGAAAGCGACAAACAAGGCTAGAGGGGTGGCAATACTTTGTAATGCAAATCTTAGGCCGGAGGTTCTGAGCCAGAAAAAAGGTAATGATGGTAGATTTATATTCTTAAAAATTAAACTGTCACAAAAAAATCTTTACAATAGCTAATACATACGGCCCTAACACAAGACAGGAAAAAATTATAAAGAAAACCTTGAACAGACTGCAGCTTTACGCTGAAGGGGAAGTTATCTGTGATGAGTATGAGTTACTCGTGCGTAAACTGGTGCCTCTCTAGGCTAATTTGCCTTGTTAAACCTTTCTGACTGCGCAGCCCTTTCTAATTGTGACTTCCTCAGTCACTGGCAGAATCCGTCAGTGGGCGTTTCTTGAACCTCTTCCAACATAAGAGTTGTTTGACACCCAGTCTCCTCCTCCTCTCACTGCGCAGGAGTCTTCTGCGCAGGGAGGGTGTGGGTAGCGGAGGACCTGTCCCCTCCTCACTGAGTTCCAGTGAAGAGTCCTGGAGCCCTCTCTCCGATTCCCCCATCTACCCACCTTTATCCCTGGTGTTGCGCTTAAATGCTTCCCCGTCCACTGAGCTGTTTCTCCCCCTGCTGCTGGGTCCTTCTCCAGCATCATCTAGGAGCCTCCCCTTCGCCTCTCGCTCCGATGTCAGTTCCCTGACATTATCGTTACAGCAGACTTTAATTGGAATATAAAGAACAATAGTACCGGTACTTTCAGATTATCTAAATAGGGATTAAAGGATGTTTTTGAGAGGGGAAACCCCAACACCAAACCTACCTTCTCCTCCGACAGACATAAGATTTTCTCTTATATTGACTACATGCTAATTAAAGAAGGGAATGAAATCAGTGTTAGAACAGCAAAGACTATGGGAATATGGATTTCAGACCATGCTCCACTATTTGTAGAGCTGGGACTGGAAGAGGATGGAAAAAGCAGCAGATGGCAGTACAATAACCTAATAATGGCAAAAGAGATTGACAGGGAATATATCAGAAAACAAATTGGATGGTATTTTAAAGAGAACAATGGTTCGGCCGAGATCCCGGTAGTATGGGATGCTTTCAAAGCGGTTATAAGAGGACATTGTATACTGAAAGAGATTGCGATTAAGAAAGATTGGTACTCGGGGAGACAGGAAAAAATTAAAGAGATTGAAATTTTGCAACAACAGCAACAGGCAAAATTTCTAAGGAGCAGACAGGAGCAGTTAAGAAAGTTAAAACAGGAATTGGATGAGCTGGATATAGTTGCGGTGTGGAAGAGAGATAATATGATCAAAAATGATTTTCAGAGAACCTCAGTAGGATCATATAAGAGACTGGCAAACTATTTAAAGAAAAGAAGGGATAAACAGAGGGTGAAGGCCATTAAGACCAGAAGGAAAATACTCACACAAAGCTCTAGAGAAATAAGGAAAGAATTTGCAGAATTCTATCAATCTTTATATAAAGAAGAAAATAAAAATATTAGCAGGGAAAGTTTAAAATTGAAGAAAGTGATAGATTAAGACTGAAGGAGGAAATTTCTTTAGAAGAAATAGAGAATGTAGTTAAATCATTTAAAAGCAAGAAATCCCCAGGATTAGATGGAATTACGGCAGACTTTTAAAAAGAAACAATTGATATCCTGGGCTCAGAACTGAAAAAAGGATTTAATAATATCTTAGAAGGGGGGAAAGCCCCAGACACTTGGAAACTAGCGGAAATAGTAGTGATTGAAAAACCACAAAAGAACCCTACAGAGGTGGGGTCATACAGACCAATTAGCCTATTAAATCAAGACTATAAGATATTTACAAAGATCCTGGCAAGGCGACTGGAAAAGGTACTACCTAAAATAATTAAGGAAGATCAATATGGATTTGTTAAGGGAAGATACATAGGCCTTCCTATCAGAAATGTGTTAAACGTATTAACAAGCAGGGTAAAAGGAAAATTGGTGGTATTAAAATTGGATGTGTATAAGGCCTTTGACACGATTAGACGTAAGTTCTTATGGAATATTATGAGGGAGGTGGTAGGATTAGGAGAGAACTTTGTGGAAGCAATCCAGGAATTGTATAGAGAAGGGAAGGCTGTGGTCAGAGGGAATGAGGGGGTTTCAGATCAATTCAATATACAAAGAGGAGTTAAACAAGGGTGTTCACTCTCACCACTACTATTTGTATTGGGTATGGAGTACTTGGCAGATAGAATATGAAACTCAGTAAGGATAAGAGGATATAAGAAAGGAAAGGAAGAAATCAAGTTAAACATGTATGCAGATGATATCCTATTATTATTTACAAACCCCTTAGAGGGTGTAAGAGAATTTATGATAATCCTGATGGACTTTAAAGAGGAGTCGGGATTGGGAGTAAATTTGGAGAAGTCTGAAATTTTATTTTGGGATGTAAATAAAGAGGAGAAGAAGGAAATTGCAGAAATGACAAAGATGGATATCAATAGGGGAATAAATTAACTACTTAGGGGTAAATATTATTAAAAATATTGCTAGGATTCCAGATGTAAATTACAAAGAAGCGTGGAGGAAGATCAAGAAGGATATAAAATCATGGAAAAATAAGAATTTATCTATTCTAGGTAGGGTTAGAGCAGTTAAAATGTTTCTGGTACCAAAATTATTATATTTATTACACTACCCATTAGGAAAATATGGTTCAAAACATGGAATAAGGTATTTAAAAATTGGATTTTTGGAAGTAAAAGAGTTAGAACCCCAGACATAGTAAATTATTCATCTCAAGAAGAGATGGGATGGGTAATACCAAACTTAGAATTTTACTATGAAACATTCCAATTGAAAAATCTAATAGATATTGGATATAAGGATGGGATTAAATGGATAAGGCTGGAGAATGAAATAAATGAAGGAATAGGAAGAGAAGGGATATTTAATAGAGATACTAATACGGCTTTTAAGAAGACAATAGGACCAAGGAAAACTGCATTAGGAATCTGGAAGAATTGGAATACAAAATGGATGCCAACATACTCAAGGTGGACGCCGTTATGCAGGAGGGTCAAAGGGAACCGGGTTGGTGGAAGAAATTAGAAGATCAGGGATTTTATAAATTAAAAGATATATTCGATGAAGAAGGGAATTTAATTACAAAAAAAAGTTTTTTTAGAAAAAATAGGAAAACAATATTGGCTGAAAGTGCAAGGACTTTATGATTTAGTAAAAACAGAAAGAGCAGAGGAAACGATGAGGACAGAAATGAAAATAGATATGGTGCTGAACAAAAGACAAATAATGGAGAAATGGATAGCAGGGATGTTATATAAACTGATGATAAGCGACAAAGAAAGAATGATAAGGATAATTCAGATTAAATGGGAGCAGGAAGGTATGATTCATCCAAACATGGCTCAAGAACTGATGAAGAATATAAACAATATTAAAATAGAAAAGTAAAAGAATTAAGTAGAAAATTGTAATAATAATAATAATAATAATAATAATAATAATAATTTATTATTTATACCCCGCCCATCTGGGAAGCATTCACCACCCCATGAAGCCCATTGCCCAGCCCTTCCCGGCTAGCTTTTATAAGCCAGGATGGGCAAGGATCAAGGAGACAGGTGGTTGGTTTCACTCGTCCAAGCAGCCTGACCACATCCTTGGAGGTAACAGATTGGAATTGATCCCACGCAATTTGACTAGACAGGACTCTAGCACTCTCCCGCCCCGGCCCTGCTCCCACAGTGGCATCTACCTCTTCCCGAATCTGAGCGACTTTATCTGCAAAAAACTTTGCAAAATCATTTCAGGAGATCATGTGGCCCGTTCTTGGCCCCGATGTAGCAGGTGGTTCCGCTAAATTGCGAACCACCTGAAAGAGTCTCCTGCTGCTGTTTTCTGCAGATGCAAAAGAGGC